TTTTAATGAATGTGGTTTTCCTTTGGGCAGTTTGCTTCCATGACCCTTGAATCTCTGGAGCATGAAGGTCAAAGTGATTTCAATTTTGGAAGACAATTACATGTACCTGATCATCGAAGAAACCACCCGACAGGCCGTTGCAGTGGATGCTGCTGTTTCCAAGCGGGTAAATGGGGTCAGAAAGAGGCTTGGAAGAAATGATAAAATAGGGGCCGGCGGTAGGGGTTGGTTTCCTTTGCAGCAGCTCTCAAAGCCCTTAGGGCAGTGGTGGCGAATCTATGGCGCGCGTGCCATAGGTGGCACCCAGAGCCCTCTCTGTGGGCATGCGCGCCATGCCCCGGAGATGGCAACCGTTCCTCTTCAACCAGCCACCCGCTAACTTGCTGAGGTCCCAGGTGGCCGGATACATCCCAGCACGGCTGGTTTCCCTCCCTCCCTGCCATCCCATCCCTCCTGGCCTCGCATGCTCTCCTTTTCGCGGGCACGACCCACTGCATCGCCGCCTCAGCTGTCGGCCAGCCGTCCAGCTCAGAGGCGGCTTCTCTGAACTGCTGGCAGCGGGCTGGGCTGCGGAGCCCCAGAGTGCACCGGTCGAGGGGCCAGCAGGCTGTGGCTGCTGACGGACACTGTCGGCCCCCTTGCGCCCCTGCCTCGCTTTGTCCTACGACAGTGGTTCTCAACCTTTTTAATGCCGCGACCCCAACCGGTCGTAAGTCGAGGACTAAACCGGTCGTAAGTCGAGGACTAAACCGGTCGTAAGTTGAGGACTAAACCGGTCGTAAGTCGAGGACTACCCAACCGGTTGTAAGTCGAGGACTTTCCCTGCCCGGGAGCGCCGCGCATGCGTGGTTTCGCCCCCTGCGCTGGCCGAGGCGTAGCTGGCAAGCGGCAGAGACGGAGCAGGCCGACCACCAGCTGGCCCAGCCCAAGGGAGGTAAGGCACCCGCCGGAAAAGGGGGAAAAAAATGGCGGACAAAAAAAATGGCGGACAGCCTTGCTTGGCGACCCCCGTGAAATGGTCAATCGACCCCAAATGGGGTCCCGACCCACAGGTTGAGAACCACTGGCCTACGACAATGGCACCCCCGCCCTGCCTTGCCTCGCCTCACCCTGCAGGACGAGCCTTCTGCCCACCGCCCCACCTTCCAGAGACCCCCTGGATCTCCCCCAACCCTGCCCGGCCTCCACAGGGGTCCCTCCCCATGAACAACATCGAGGTGACCACGCCCACTTTGGCCACACCCACCCAACCTGCCATGACCACCACAGCCACGCCCACCCAGTGGGCCACGCCCACCTGGCACCCGGCAATAAATAAGTGGGTTTTGGGTTGCAGTTTGGGCACTCGGTCTCTAAAAGGTTCGCCGTCACTGTCTTAGGCTAACTTCTTAGTCCGCGTGATTAAACCATAGCCTGTTGCACACGACCCAGCCCGTTTGGATTGAGTCTACAAAGAACCGCAGTTAAGCATATCACACACCTAATCACCGAGCTAGGCCGGTTGAAGGTGGGGATGGGAGTTCCAGATTGGGGCAGGGGGGTGGAGGTGGGAGTGGGCAAAGTCAGGCAGGCCCAACTGCATGATCAAAGCTCTGTCCCTTTTGCAAGGGATGCTTGACTGTGGAGATTCTCAGCCAATCCAGATCACGGTTGCCCCAAAGGTGCTTTTTAAAAAGGCAACTGGACTTCCTTTGTTTTTCCTTTGCAAGACAAAGGCCACTTTTGTAAAGACAGCAAAGTTCACATTTTGGACAGAGAGGGCCGCTGGTTTGAAAGAGGGACCGAAGAGGCCACCTACATGAAAATTGAACAGCCTTCTCTCAACCGAGGGGGAGGGATACAACATCAACTATCCCCTGTTTACAACACCATCCATTTCAGCAGCTCCAAGAAGGCTGCACACCCATTTGCACTATTCAGGTGACCCTGAAGGCACAGATAAGCCTCCAAGTGGCCTCAATGACTCTCAGACAGAGCACTAACGACCAGATGACTGCAAGGAATATACAGTAAATCCTTCCATCCTCCACCATTCAGTCAGAAGTGAAGAAGCTTCTTGGATGAGAAGTGAAACGTCTTCAAGGAAAAAACAAGGAAAGTCCAGTTGCCTTCTGAAAAAGCACCTTTGGGACAAGTGATGCATCTTCACTTTTTAATACAACCCCTTCCCTCATGAATTGAAGAGGAAGTTACTCAAGGCCTGAATATGCAGAATCACAATGGGCTAGGTTAAGGTAAGGTAAGATAAGATAAGGTGAATAACTCATGGACTTGAATATTGGCCTGCCTACTCTTAGTCCAGCATTTTCACCACTCTACCTCACTCTCTGGCTGTCCTGGGCAGAAGCTGCAGGAGATCCTAACACAGTGGTTCTCAACCTGTGGGTCGGGACCCCATTTGGGGTTGATCGACCATTTCATGGGGGTCGCCAAGCAAGGCTGTCCGCCATTTTTTTTGTCCGCCATTTTTTTGTCCGCCATTTTTTCCCCTTTTCCGGCGGGGGCCTTACCTCCCTTGGGCTGGGCCAGCTGGTGGTCGGCCTGCTCCATCTCTGCCGCTTGCCAGGTACGCCTCGGCCGGCGCAGGGGGCGGAACCACGCATGTGCGGCGCTCCCGGGCAGGGAAAGTCCTCGACTTACGACCGGTTGGGTAGTCCTCGACTTACGACCGGTTTAGTCCTCGACTTACGACCGGTTTAGTCCTCGACTTACGACCGGTTGGGGTCGCGGCATTAAAAAGGTTGAGAACCACTGGCCTAACAAGATGTGTACCTTGCTGAGGGGCCTCTGTAGAAGAAATGGCATACTGAAGGTGTAGCCAATGACTGCAGAAAAAAAAGAAGAGACGATGATTAGGCTGTCTGTTTGTAATGCGATTTGAGACGATTTGAGATTTCTCACAAATGCTCTATTCAGTTGCTCCTAGCAAGGAGACCATAAGAGAGTGGTTTCCGGCGAGTTTAGACTCTAGGACAGGGGTCTTCAAACTTGTGCCTTTTATGACTTGTGGACTTCAACTCCCAGAATTCCTCAGCCAGCAACGCTGGCTGAGGAATTCTGGGAGTTGAAGTCCACAAGTCATAAAAGGCACAAGTTTGAAGACCCCTTCCTTTCCCAATTGCTTTCAGAAATTAATTATTAACTGATTTTCAGCTATTGGAAGTCTTCGGATCAACAAGTCCCTGAGTGAGTTTCCTTTGATTCTTGGGGAAAGACATTTGAAATAGCAACAGCACTTAGACTTTGTATACCGCCCCATAGTGCTTTTCAAAACTCTAGGCGGTTTACAGAGTGGGCACATGTCCCCCAACAATCTGGGTCCTCATTTAACCAGCCTCAGAAGGATGGAAGGCTGAGTCAACCTTGAGCCCCATCAGGATCGGACTGCTGGCGGTCGGCAGAATCGGCCTGCAATACTGCCTTCTCATTATTGCGCCACTACAGCCCATGAATACAAATTGAAGGACTTAAAAAAAAAACATCTTTTGGAATAAATCTAGGTGCACTATGCTCTTTCTGTGTGTTTTTTTTCCCCCTAGCTCCTGGAGATCATCCAAAGAGAGGACGTTATTCTAAAAGCCATTCTGACTACCCATTACCACTGGTAAGTGTGTTTGCGTGGCTCTTGCCCTGGTTGTTTGGGAGAAGAGAACCACAGCCTTCCTCCCTCTTCAGATTCAAGGTGGGCTGAATTCATGGGGTACAAACGAAACAGCCCCTCTACAAATCCAAGGGGAGGAATTTTTCAGTAGTTAAGAGGTAGCTCAATTCTGGAGAAATTATTGAAGAATAATTTTTAAATTTGTTAAAACTGGGGACAAAAGAAATCAAAGAGCTTCTCTGCCTGCCAATGGGGTGGAAACCTTTTGAAAAACTAGAAGAGTTGTGCTTTCTCTTTGACAAGCCTCGTGTCTCTCCTCCAAGCTGGACATTTGGAGAGAAAAACTATTTCCTCTTCCTCCCCTTTCCCAAGGGACCATGCAAGAGACAATGAAGAACTGGCCAAAGTTTACCCCGGCCTGGAGGTATATGGTGGGGACGCACGGGTGGGAGCTCTGACACACCAGGTGACTCATGAGGAGGAATTAAAGGTAAGCGTGGAATGGACCACTCCTGCAGTATTATTGGGGTATCATAGTATGACTGAATTACAGAGAAGTCCAAAACTACCCACAGGGATTTCATTCGTATGTGACACCATTGCACCCATGACACAAATTGATTTCTTCTTTCCCCCCAGCGCGTGCCCAGATGATGCAATTCACACTGTTTGCACTTTCCTTCATGCGTTAGGGTTAGCGCAGGGGTAGGCAACCTCGGCTCTTTTATGACTCATGGACTTCAACTCCCAGAATTCCTGAGTCAGCTATGCTGACTCAGGAATTCTGGGAGTTGAAGTCCATGAGTCATAAAAGAGCCGAGGTTGCCTACCCCTGCGGCTCACTCTCTGTTGACTCTCTTCAGCAATTGGCAGGGGTAGGCATGTAGAGTGCAGTTGAAGTTTGCAACCTCCTGGCCTTTTCCTGTCTACCTTTTGCCTGCCCTTTGTGACAGCTGGTCCATGCTCAGCCTGTTGTGCTGCTGGCGGCTGCTTGGCTTTCTTTGTGACTTGACTTCTCCGCAGAGTGTTTTCCTCCACCGTCACCTTGGAGGAATTGACGTTTGAGGGTGGAGGGTCGTTCTCCGAGCTCGTGGGTTGGTTTCCGAATGTTTTGTTACCAGTCTAGGTAATATCTTCAGCGAATTTAGGAGATGTCAGTATCCATGTTCTTCTGCTTATAAGAACTTCGTGTGATCAGTAGATCCTTGTGATGGGGAGGTCACGTCAGGTATGGATCATTGGGAGGTGACCTCCCCATCACAAAACCAACTGACTACACAAAGCCCTTATAATCAGAAGAACACTGACATTGTTGTTGTTAGTTGTGAAGTCGTGTCCGACCCATTGCAACCCATGGACAATGTTCCTCCAGGCCTTCCTATCCTCTACCATCTTCTGGAGTCCATTGAAGCTCACGCCTCTTGCTTCAGTGACTCCATCCAACCACCTCCTTCTCTGTCGTCCCCTTCTTCTCTTGCCCTCCATCTTTACCAGCATTAGGCTCTTCTCCAGTGAGTCCTTCCTTCTCATTTGGTGGCCAAAGTACTTGACTTTCAACTTCAGGATCTGGCCTTCTAAAGAGCAGCAGTCAGGGTTGATCTCCTCTAGGACTGACCGGTTTGATCGCCTTACAGTCCAGGGGACTCGCAGGAGTCTTCTCCAGCACATTGACACTGACAACCCCTAAATTCTGCTGAAGATGTTACCCAGCCTGGTGGTGAAACGTTCAGAAACAAACCCACAAGCTTGGAGAATGGACCTTCGCCCTCATCCGACACCTGAGCTACAGATATTTGCCACTATTGAACTGATGCTTTCCCGGGATCGATTTGGTCACACCACTCGCTAAGGCAAAGGCTGCCTTCCCATCGTGCACAGAACCACGAAGGAACCCAGCCTATTTTGGCCTAGCCTGGAATGTTGTGGGAACTCAGCAAGTGTACGGGAGTTGGAAATTTTTCAAGCATGGTTGGCAGCTGTCTTGGGATTTGACATAGAAACTCTTTCTTTTGGACAGTTTGGCAGCATCAATGTGCGGTGCCTTCTCACGCCAGGCCACACCGCCGGACACGTCTGCTACTTCATGTGGGAAAACGATTCTCTGAATGCTCCTGCAGCTTTCACAGGTCGGTCCTGAGAAATGAATGGCAGTTATGGTCCCGGTTGATGACATGCTGGAGCCTAGGAAACGGGGAAATTGCTCATACGCACAAAGCTGTTGAAGCAGCTTTGGGGTTAACTCGCTTTCTAGGTTCACACAATAGGGTACATGCAGCACAGCAAGATGCCCAAATTATGTCAACAAGATTAGGTGACCAAGTTTAGCAGAATGCATCTGCTGGGTATATAAATGATGTAAGCAGCATGTTGTGTGAATAGTTCCAGCCCTTTTGTGCTTCTTTGCATCGCCTATTTCCCAGCATCCTTAACTGAAAGCAACAGTGTAAGTGTCAAGGAAAAGAACCATTGCTTATCAGTAAAGCATGTACTTTGCACAAAACTGGCCTGATTGATCATTGTTGAAAAGGCGGGATATAAATTGGACGAACAAGTAAATACAGGCAGTCCTCAACGTACGAACACAACGGAGCCCAAAAATTCTGTTGCTAAGTGAAAAATGTGTTTACATTTTGCCCCATTTTACTTTTCTCGCCACATTTGTTAAGTGAATCACTGCAGTTGTTAAATTAATAACACGGTTGTTAAGTGAATCGGGTTTCCCCGCTGACTTTGCTTGTCAGAAGGTAGCAAAAGACCCCAAGTGACCCCAAGACACTGCAACTGTCATAAATATGCGTCGGTTACCAGGCATTTGAATGTAAATCACGTGACCCTGGGGATGCTGCAACGGTCATATGTGTGAAAAAGGGTCATAAGTCACCTTTTTCAGTGCCGTTGTAACTTTCAATAGTCTGTTGTAATAGAATGCAATATGACACTCGGTTGCTGGGAGGGTGTTTTCATTACCGTGCTGATGCTTCTTGGGTAACAATCTGCCAAGTGACTGAGTTGTTGGGGGGAGGGAATTGGGAGGTGTGTGTTCTGGCTTGATTGTACATTATCCCTTTGTTCTTAGGCGACACCTTATTTGTCGGTGGTTGTGGGAGACTCCTGGAATGCCCAGCTGAACAGCTGTACAAGAGCCTGACGGAGGTCCTGGGCGGGTTGCCAAAGGAGACTGTAAGTTTGAGTGGCTTCTGACGCCGCTGATGTGCCAGGTCCCAAATCTGAGGAAAGAGCCCTGCCTTCTTGTGGTTCCCACTTGAGGTCCCCAAGGTGCTTTTTCACGAGGCATCTGGACTTTCTTGTTTTTCTTTGAAGATGTTTCGCTTCTCATCCAAGAAGCTTCTTCAGCTCTGACTGGATGGTGGGGAAGGGAAGGATTTATACTCCTTGCAGACCGCTGGTCATTTGCATTCTTTTAGAGAGTCGTTGAGGCCACTTGGAGGTTGACCTGTGTCCTCAGGGTCACCTGAGCGGTGCAAATGGGTGTGGAGCCTTCTTGGCTGCTGGATGTTTTCTGCCCTGGGTCCCTTCACTGTTGAAGACAGGCGCAGGCTGTTGGGGATGAGTCTGTGTGGTCTGCATCTCAAACTGAAATGCAAATGGTTCAGAAATGTCTTCAAAGAAAAACAAGGAGGTCCAGTTGCCTCCTGAAAAAGCACCTTTGGGACAACCATGATCTGGATGACTGGGAATCTCCATAGACATTCCCACTTGAGGGCCAGCAGTGGGGATAGAGGAGCATAGAGGGTTTAGGCCAGGGGTCGGCAACCTTAAACACTCAAAAGAGCCACTTGGACCTGTTTCCCAGAGAAAAGAAAACACTGGGGGCCGCAAAACCTGCACGCACACACGCAAGGAGCAGGAGCTTGATTGAAGAGTTTAATTAAAAAGAAATAGAGTTCTCTCCCTCCATCCCTCCCTCTCTCTCTGCCTCCCTCCCTCTCTCTCCCTCTCTTTGTCTCCCTCCCTCTCTCTCTCTCCCCCCTCTCCTTCTCTCCGATCTTCTGCTCACCTGGCAAGCTGGCTTCATGCTGTTCTCCGACAAGCTGACACACATTTTTATTGGGCTGGCTCTCTCCTGCCCTATGGTCTGCCAGTCCTCTTCCCCCACTCAGTGTGTGTGTGTGTCTGTGTGTGAGAGAGAGAGAGACAGAGAGACAGACAGAGACAGAGAGAGTTGCTGCTTCCTGCTGAGACGCAGCAAAGGCAGGAGCCCCGCCCAATAAGCTTGTCCGAGAACAGTGTGAGGCCACTCTCTTTTTTACACACACACACACAGAGAGAGAGAGAGAGAGAGAGAGAGAGAGAGAAGGGAAGGGAAGGGAAGCGCAAGTGCCTCTCTCTGTCTCTGTCTCTGTCTCTCTCTCTGCAAATGGCGGAGGAGGCTGGGAGTCGCAGGAGAAGGCTCAAAGAGCCATCTGCGGCTCTGGAGAAGGTGAAGCGGATAGTTGTCAAAACAACCCTAGAGGACAAGAATACAAATTAAAACATCCCCAATAAATGGTGGGTAATATCACATAATATTTTTTTTGATTGCCCCATCCCAGATAAAGGGAGAACTTGGAAGAGGGTCAGTTCTTAACTTTAAAAAAATTAGCCGTATTGTATGAATCGCTTTTGTCTTTTTGTGTTTTCACTTCCTCAAAAGTGTGAGAAACCGCATTTCTAGTTTTGGACAAATGTCACCCGGGACCTTGGCGATCACAGCAAAGAGGTTTGGGGAATGGAAGGGATTCCACGGCGAATTACTCCTAATGTGGTAGCCTGAAAAAAAAAATTCCTTTTCAGAAAATCTTCTGTGGACATGAGTACACAACCCAGAATTTGAAGTTTGCCTTAAAGGTGGAACCAGAGAATGAATTTGTGAAAGAAAAGCTCATTTGGGCTAAAGTGAGTGATTCTGTTTATACTGTTCCCCCACTTTTTCATCTTTCTGAAATGAGAACAAGATGGAAAGTTGACCCTTTATTAAAAAAAAATCAGAATTATAGACCAGTAACCTCAGTCTCTAATTAGCTTAGTGGTTGCTTCAAATATCCTGCTGGACTCTGGATTGTTTAAATCATGGCTTCCGGTATAAGCCAACATTGGTGGCAGAAGCCATCATTCTCAACTACTGAACAATGGAATACAAATTTTGATTGCTGGCAGTGGTGTTTGTGGGGGTATGTGGTTAAAAAAAACCCCCAACTCTGGATGGTTGAAAGCCCCCCTTTTATGCTTCCATTGTTTTGTTTAGATTTTTTTTTAAAAAAAAAACAAAGTATTTGGAAATACCCCCGTTTGCTCAGTCAGGGGCAAGAGCGGGCCTACTCATCTCCTAAGCCTTTTGTTGATCCTCAGGGTCAACCACTAGGATGTGGAAAAGGTCTCGTTATTTTTTTAATAATTAAGGAGAAACTTCCTCACAGTGAGAACAATTAACCAGTGGAACGGCTTGCCTCCAGAAGTTGTGGGGGCTCCATCACTGGAGGCTTTTAAGAAGAGACTGGACAGTCATTTGTCTCGAATGGTAATAGGGTCTCCTTCTTGTGCAAGGGGTTGGACTAGACTAGAAGACCTCTGAGGTCCCTTCCAGCTCTATTCTGAATTAAATCAAATCATTGATTTATTCTTTCACAGCTCCGAGAAGATGAAGACCTCCCAACGGTGCCTTCTACTTTGGCTGAGGAGTTCCTCTACAACCCATTTCTTCGCATCTTGTGAGCCCACCTTTCTTTAGTGGAGGGGGGGGCGTTTTTTTTTCTTTGGTTTCTGTCCCAGCTTTCCTCCAGGAACTCAGGGCCATGTGTTTAGCGCCCACCACTCACCCCAGCCACCCGTCAGATTGGTGGGCTAAGGGACTGACTAACCCAACTTTCATGGCTGAGAGTGGGCTTCTGGGTATTGCTGCACTTCAGAGATAAGCAGAGCACGTCCGGAGTGGATCTGAACTTGGGTTTCCCCAGATCATCCAACTTCTGAATCCTGTCCCTCAGGCTATTAAGGGTCTTGTTTTGTCTGGGTTCACACAATACGCTGTATGCCAAACAGAAATTATCCCTTTAGATTTCATTAGGGTGGAACATGTTCTAACAAGATGCCAAAGAGTTGGGTTCTCACGACAGTTTTACTGTTTGGTGCAAACCCAGCCAAGGCTTACTTTCATCTTGAATTAGAATATGCAGCATCTTGGATTTAGAAGCACAAAGTGGAGCCACAGGGTGCTCATCTTACGCATCTTCTCTGGGATCATAAACACTCCACAGCTAGAGCACAATCTCGAGAAAAGATGCTGAGTACCTAAGACAATCGGGAATAGGTAGGCAATGAGATTGGCCATTGGCCATTCGCTGGATTATTCATCGAGCTAAGGCAGGATAAACTAACCTCATTACAGCAAAGCCTCATGCCAGAATCAGCCTTTGTGGTTTATTCCAGGATATTTGCAACGACAGCATCAGAGAGACCACAGTTCTGGACTTGATCATGTGATTGAAGCCCTGCTCCTTTTGCATTTAAACATAAACAAGGAAAGGGCTTCAATCACACGCTTATCTACCGCTTCATAGTGCTTTGCAGCCCTCTCTCTAAGCGGTTAACAGAGTCATCATATTGCCCCCAACCATCTGGGTCCTCATTTTACCGACCTCGGAAGGACAGAAGGCTGAGTCAATCTTGAGCGGGCCAGGATCGAACTCCTGGCAGTGAGCAGAGTTAGCCTGCAATACTGCATTCTAACCACTGTGCCACCACAAACACCCCTGCTCTGCAAAACAGACCACGAAACCAATTATAATTCAAGACGGTGATGGTGTTGCATTCAGATTCTAAGGACAATTCTGGCACCTCCTACCCCTGCTGGGGAGCCAGTTGGTGTTTGCAAAAAGGCCTCCAGCTCCTTGCTCCCTCCTGTACATCTGTGTAGTAGTGTGATAACATCTGAAGTTTTGGCGGAAACCTCTCTCTCGGGTTTGCTAAGTGGGCCCTTTGCTGTTCCAGGGAAGAACCAGTCCAGAAATTCACGGGCAAGTCGGCTCCCGTCGAGGCCTTCGCGGCTCTCTGCAAGGCCAAAGAGAGTTTCCGGAAACCCAAAGAGCAGCTCAGTCCTCAGGCTATGCTGGCATTTGAATGGGGGCTGTTTGACCCCCTCCTGCAAAAGTGAACCCCTTCCTGCCGTGGTGAGGACACAGGTGCTGTGGATGAAGGGCTGACTCCCTCCTCCCCGTGCCCTTAGAATCAAATGCCGCAGGGGCTTGTGGCAAGGCAAAGTTGCCTTCCCCCATTTCACGGAGGAGGAAAGCGGCATCCTTGACTTCCCAGTTCTTGCTGAGAAATATGACGACGAGCGCCGAAGTAACTCCTTCATTCTGTGCAGAAGGCAGGCGCCACGGAGCCGTGCAAAACGGAGGAGGGAAGTAAATTGTTGCCTGCCTCCCAATTTACTATGAATTGAATGACAGCTATTTGCTCACTTTTAATTAATTTTTTTTAAAAAAAAATTGTTTTGTTGGGGTTTAAATCCAGCCTTTCCTTCAGGTGCTCAAAGCAAGCATACATAGCATTCGTTCCTCCAAATTTCCCCTCCATAGCCCTGTCCGATGATTGAGACTGAATCATTGAGACAGTTGGTGAGACTGACCCCAGGACCTCTCACTCCCTTCTGTGGCTGAGGATAGCTTTGAGCATGAGGCTCAAAGGACAGGCTGAAGCTGCACCATCCTTCTCAAAATGAGCCAGCTGGGGTGGGGTGGAATCTTTTGAGTTAGAAAGAAAAACCCTGCTGTAATTAAGCAGCTGAGTAAGGCAGATTTGGTTGCCTTCTGCACATCCTGCAGCCCAAATCCCTCGCTGGGCATCAATTCAATACTTTGTAGAAATGAGAAAGTATTTTAATGTGTGTACTTTTTTTTTTCTCCTTAACAGATGAGAATGGGCTAATTCAGGTTTATCTCCAAAGGCAAATGTAAGCAATCTAAAAATGGGAGGAAGCATGCTAATGCGCGTAAAAATGATAAAAGTCAAAAGAGAATTCTATAAAAGCAGATTGCGCAATGCATCTCCAAAGCAGCAAACCTGAATTGCCTTCACTTTCAGATGGAAGAACTTTTTAGGTCTTCCTGTTCTCCCTTTCGTTCTTGTAGGGTCTAAAATTCCCTTCATTGAGGATGTTTGCTCCCCAGTTAAAGTTTTGGGCAGGCTGAAACAGTGCAACAATTCCACTGTACTGCACTTGAGATATTTCTCACTTGAGATATTTGGAAAACTAGTACGCTGTGCCTGCTGCTCCAGCTCCCAGGCAGATGCAAAGCTGTACTTTCAGATAGAAAAGCCTCTCACCCACATGGTAGGCAAGTTTTGAGCAGCCCTTATAGAAATGAGACAACACGGAAACTGATTCTATGTTCTCTGATCAATCTCTATTTTATTGATGGTTGTGAGCGTTCATATACACAGCCTTTGCGATACACAGGGTGGGAGTTGTGTTTCTGTGCTCCCCTTATATCGCACGTGGACTTGGACAGGGTAGTCTGCAAATGCTCCACTTTGTGCCACATGACCGGAGAGAGACCTGCTACTCAACAGCCTCAGCGATCCAGATTCATTATGAGGAAAGTTTCAGGATTATTTTTCCTCTATAGACATCCAAACCATTTACATTTTTTTAAAAATTTTATTTTGGTCCCTTCTCCCTAAATGCCAAATTTAACCTGGTTCATTTTGCTTCCGTGCAATCATTCAGAAAAGCTCCTTTCATAAATTCTACCTTTCTGTGGGAGTAGGAAAAAAGTGGTGAAGCTATAGAAAGAGTAAACTAACAACAGTCCAATTTTCTGCCTCAAAAGATCTGGTGAGACGAGAAATCCAGTGGAGAGCACTGTTGTCTATTGTGAAGCCAATTCTTCACCTTAACATTTTAAAAAATTCAAATATAAATCTTTGATAGGACTATTTGCTTAAAAACGAAACTTTCAGCTTCATCGGCAGCAATAAGGGTTCCATTAGATCCTCGGTCTCCAACCGTTGCAACTTGGCAGCCCAGTGGGGAGAGGAAAGGGGAACCGGGCCACCTAAGCGATGGGCACACAGTTTGTGTACTGCACACACATGTGCATGCCTGCTGCTCGTGTGAGTCGAGTGGGGTGTGTGTGGGGCCCAACTGCAAATAGGCCATAGACCACTACAGGGTCTACTAGATGACACGAGCTGAGCAAATTTTACCACTTAATATTAAAGCCTGTGCTGGCTTTCTCCACAGCATGGTATTGTGTATGGAGGTGAGTTTGAGCCTGTTCGGAAGTGGGACCACCGAGCCACTGCTCATAGAGGTCCCTGATGGTTTTGTTCATCTCAGGGTCTTCTGGCTGGACCATTTCATACAGTCTCTCCACATGATGGAGCAGATCCTTGCTGGATTCTCCCTCTGCTCTGATCTGTCCCCCTCCATTTAAGCACCCTGGAAAATAAGGGTTCACAGCTGAAGGGAAGAAAAGCGAAGGCGCATTTGGCTTAAATTGGGGGTTGCTAACTCAAGGGGAGAGCTGGAGAAAGTTGGATTTTTGGCAGTGTGTCGTTAAGTTGGAAATAAGGAGCTGTTCTAGGTATACAGTGCAAAAGAGGCGGGGGGGGGGGAAACTACCTCACAAAATGTGGATATGCAGGAGGCTCCCTACGACCCCTACTTATCTGGGTTGATGGGGAGGTAACCATCTAAACCAGGGGTGTCAAAACTGCCGGCCTGTGTGCTGGATGCGTCATGCCAAAACCGCGTCCACCCCATTGCTGGCAATGGGAAAAAAGTTGCAATACATCGCGACACATCACGTGAAGTCGCGTGTTTGACACCCGTGATCTACCAAGCCCTAAGTTGCCAGTGTCCATCAATTTCATTTTCTAAGTAAGTTTCCAAGGCCTATTTGTAAACCAAAGGAATTCTTGGAAACAAAACACGGGTAGCCTGCATTTTGTTTTGCATCGTTTTAGGGATGACACGAGGGAAATGCTGCAGGCCATGATGGCACCTATGAAGGTACCATTGACTCTCTTAAAAGAATTCCTGAAATGGTCCCAGAGAGCTCTAGAATCACCATATCAGGCATCTGTCTCTTCCCTTCCAGCCATCTGCCATAGCAAACCTGCAGCCACCATGCTCACCTGAGGGACAAGCCATCACCTCGATGTAGTGGTAGGGCAACTTTCCACGTTTCAGTTTCTGCACGAAGTTTTGGATGTTCCGAAATCCATATGCCAGGGCAAAGTGCAGGAGAGTCTGGCCATCCTTCTCCAGCGTCACCTCTTGAAAATCCTTGTTTCTGAATGGAGGAACATGAAAGAGCATCGGGGATGACAGACAAGTAGTTGCTTTTCCTCCAGGGCTCATGAGGAGAAAGCAAGTTGGGCTAATGTATCCTCCAAAGTCTATAAAGATTCTCAGTCATCCAGGTCACGGTTATCCCAAAGGTGTTTTTTTTTTCTTCAAAAGGCAGAAGAAGAAGAAGAAGANGCTTTGGAGAATAGCTTGACTCCCTCTTCTTTGGGGCAGCCCCTGAGATATTGGAACACTGCAATCATGTCCCCCCTCGTCCTTCTCTTCGTTAAACTAGACATACCCAATTCCAGCAACCGTTCCTTATATGTTTTAGCCTCCAGTCCCCTAATCATCTTTGTTGCTCTTCTCTGTACTCTTTCTAGAGTCTCAGCATCTTTTTTACATCGTGGTGACCAAAACTGGATGCAGTATTCCAAACGTATTCCACTAAGCTTACTAAGGCCTTGTAAAGTGGTATTAATACTTCACGTGATCTTGATTCTATCCCTCTGTTAATGCAGCCCAGCACTGTGTTGGTTTTTTTGGCAGCTGCAGCACACGGCTGGCTCCTATTTAAGTGACTGTCCACTAAGACTCCGAGATCTCTCTCACAGTTACTATTATTGAGCAAGGTACCCCCTATACTATAGCTGTACATTTGGTTTTTCTTGCCTAAATGTATAACCTTACTTTTTTCACCATTGAATTTCATTTTGTTAGATAGGACCCAGTGTTCAAGTCTCTCCAGATCCTCCTGTATCCTAAGCCTGTTTTCTGGAGTGTTGGCTATTCCTGCCAGCTTGGTGTCGTCTGCAAATTTGATGAGTTCCCCATCTATCCCCTCGTCCAGATCGCTGATTTTCCTTGAAGACATTTCGCTTCTCATCCAAGAAGATACCACCTTTGGGGTATCCTCCATAGGAAAATCTGGCTGGTGGAGAAAAAAGCCTTTCTTGCCACTTGCATAACTGAGCAACTCCTGGCATTTATCTGGGACTGCCCTAGCAAGATTCAAGCACTTACAGGCAGCAGCTATTCAATCTTAAGGGTTAACAGACTTTTGTTTGGGGGATTGTGGCTGGAGAGGTACTTTATACAGAGGGGGTGAAAGCCCCCGTGGGCCGGGCAGTGATGGAAAGAGCACTGATAATAGAGAGAAGGCCAAATATTTCCCTCCCAGACTTGAGGGAGGTGGGTCATTAAAAAACAACAACAACAACTGCAGAGCCCCTGGACGTTATTCAGGTTATAGACTCGCTAGGTAAAAAAAAGCCCGATCTTGACAAACTGCACACCTCACAAGTTATTTCACGAAGGTTCAAAAGAAGAGAAAAATCAGTGTACTAGGTGAGTTTTAGCCCTGAAATTTGGAACAGGAAGATCCGAAGGCCGGGTGTGACTATGATTGATCTGACTGAACGCCCCTTTCCTGCTCCCTTCTGGGAATGGAGAGAGACAGAAGGAGGGTGAAGGCAAGGGGAGGGTGGGGCGAAAGGGCTAGGAAGGAACTCCTTACTTCAGGGTCTTGTAGCGAAGCTCCTTCACTGGAATGCCAAAGAGCTCCTTTGCTGCATGTTTGAATATGTGCTCCAAGTACCCCCCAGAGCCGCCTCCAGAATGGCCGAAGAGCTCTTCTTCCAAAAGGTTGCCAAACCTACAGCAGGGGGGGAAATGCCACAAAGTCAAGCTCAATTCCTGGTGACTCTATGGATAATACATCCATGTAGTTTCTGACTTTCTGATTTCCCTATCTAGCCAACAATCATGGACTTAGCTTTCCCAAGACCAGCAAAGATTGGCTAAGGGCTACCGTCCACGGGGCCCTAGTGACTTCACATATTCTTGGACACAAAATGGGAACTGATTTCTGCTGCCTTCTTTCAGGATATTATTTTTTATTCACTTCTCAGTTTAGTCTCCAGCCTTTGAAGGCCTTCCTGCTAGGCTCCCATATACGTGCTAACCCGGTCCAATCCTTGTTCAACTTTTCAACAGCATCCCAAGCTAACTAGGTGTTGCCATTAAATGTTACCTACCACCAAATGCCCAGCAGTGTTTTAGTAAAACCAAAGTCCAATGTAAGGATACAGGAGAGGGTATCAGCACAGCACCCTTACCCTCTCTCCTACAATGGCAGCAGACGTGTTGAAATGCTGATTACTAGACAGGAGGTAAACCTGAACGCTTTTGCGATCTGGCTGATCTTTTAACTCCAGCATGTCTCTTTCAATGCTGCTAACATTGGATGTTCTTGCTTTGACAATATATGGAGATGCAGCCTTTTTCTTTCTTATGCTTTACTCTTAGAATTAGATGGTACTGGGGGAGGGGGAGGAATGTGATGGGAGTTAGTTAGATATAACAATATTGTAATAGTGTGTGAATTCAGGGCGTTTGTAATAAGAGATGATAAGGCATGGCGGGATGAAGAACTGGTGGGGAAGCCAGCATTTCAAACTAATTGGGGAATGTGATTTATGACTGTTAGTTGTAGGAGGGAATTGTGCTTTGATCTATGTGCTGAGGGGAGGGGAAGTCAGATTTTGGCTTGGCCTATGTATGTGCCGATGTGTTGCTGCTGCTCGAATCTGCCTCGAAGTTCTTTGAAGAGTTTCATATGTTGGAACCATAACAGTCTCATTAGTGGGAGATGCTGTGAGTTGTAATTGGGACAGATCACTTTGGCCACACTCTTGAATTGAGTTGAACAACTTTCCTTGAGCCTAACCTGGTCTTTAAACAACATGCAACTCTAAATCAAAGTGGGTCCAGCCAGGACAAAACTAAAACCAGCTCACTTGGTTAGATCATCTATTCTAGGATATATTTGTTAGTGAGCTTTAATGGCAAGAAGAAGGGCACATGAGGCATCTCCTGGACGTGGAGGCTCTCCTTTAGCTGAATATGTTGCAGAAGAAACTGGAGAAAACAGACTGCAGCTTGGCAAGTAAACCGATTCTCGGGGGGGGGGGCTCTTACATGTTATCCAAAGGCATAGGATCCACTTCAAGAAGGGATACTCCTTCCTGGTCCAGCAACTTTAAGACTTCTCCTGAAATAGAGCAAAGAGATGTGACAATGAACACAAGCAGACCAAAGAGACCAGGCCCTGGCTCAGAACAAAGACAAGAAGGATTCCAAGATAATCCCGTGTGAGCCTCAACTGGCGGACAAAGGGCAGCTTCTAAGAAGAAAGTTAAATGAAAGCAAAGGAATCCAATATTTATGTTTATTTTTCTTACTAGGCACGAGCCTGTTTTTGAAAAAGAAAGTGTTAAATGTATGCTCCGTGCCCTCAAATGATAGGAATTAAATTTGGGAGGGAGTGCTATGGCTGGAAAAAATAGTGTCAGGTATTTAACCGGTTGATTTCCTTGCCCTGAGTTTGCTGTGGCTACTCAGGTGAATACAATCCTCTCCTTCAGTCACTATCTTGAAACTATGTTCAACCCATTACTTAGATTGCAAGCTTGCCAGAGGCAGAAAGAATCATGTTTCTTGGATCTGCCTTAGGTCTCTGGGATCAGGTAAGGTATAAAAATACAGAACTCATTCCTTCTTATGGTAAATACTAGGATTGTATAACATGTCCCAAATCTGTCATGCTTGGAGCAACGAAACCCCGTCTCATTTTGAGTTCAAGAAAGCTAGAAATGTAAGAAAAACCAGCTCTAATTCAAAATGAAGTGTTTCCCATTTTAGGTTATTTTTGCACATCCCTCGTAAATACACCAGGAGAATAATCTCCACTGTCTCTTTGTCCCCAATTGCGTGGCTGAACTACTTATTTGGAGCTTTCTCCTTATGACAAATGAGGCCCCGGCCTCCATCAAGATTCCTGTCAGAGCAGGTTCAACTCAAGGAAGGGGCTGATGAAGGAGAAGCAGGGCCCTTCCCTCTCAAAGATGGTTTAGATCAGGGATAGGCAACCATGGCTCTTTTATGACTCGTGGACTTCAACTCCCAGAATTCCTGAGCCAGCCATGCTGAGGGGAAAGGGAGAGGTTTCCAAGCTGAGCCAGGCTGCCTCAGGAATTCTAGGAGTTGAAGTCCACGAATCATGAAGGGGCCATAGTTCCCCCATGCTGGCTCAGGAATTCTGGGAGTTGAAGTCCACGAGTCATGAGGGGGCCATAGTTCCCCATGCTGGCTCAGGAATTCTGGGAGTTGAAGTCCCTGAGTCATGAAGGGGCCATAGTTCCCCCATGCTGGCTCAGGAATTCTGGGAGTTGAAGTCCACGAGTCCTAAAAGAGCCAAAGTTGCCTACCCCTGGTTTAGATCTTTACCTGTTGTAATCACACAGTCAACCTCACGGGTTTGGTGCTTTTCAATGAAGAAATCTGGCCTGGAAGCTTCTAGCTTTTTGTCATAGCAAGGCATCACAGTCACGTGATAGATTTGGTCTGGTGTCAGGCACTGGAACAAAAGAGTGTCGAAATTGCAAAAACTGCCAAAAGACTCCTTGGCTCCTAACTTCTCAAGAGCGGATGCAACTGAATAGCAAAGAACACAAAGAACAGGACCAGATCCCAATCTGGGGCCTGAGCTGTCGGGCAATTAGAAATTGACCACTGAGCTCAGCCTTTGCCTTCCCCAAAGCGTTTATATCACTTCCCCCTCTCCTGCTCTTCAAGTGATGGCCAGGGGATTCTGGGAATTGTATAGTTATACATCTGAAAAGTAACATACACAGAATAGTTGATATAAGTGCCCCACTGGGGGCAGTCACATCATGGGTAAATCGCATCGCACTCATGACAGAAGCCCCATGGTGCTTCTGGGTTGAAAGGATTAGCCGGTGACATCACCATTACCCAGGAGGTGCCCAGTTAGGAGCTCCTTTCAGGAGCTGGAGCAAAGGGCGGGAGCTCACCCACCCCGTGGCAGCGCTTGGGTCTTGAACGTGGACTTGCTAACCTCCAACCCAGCATCCTAACCATGCATAGGAAAGAAAGAGTTGGCTGCCCCTTTGGTAAAACACACACACACACATACACTTTCTTTACAGAGGGAGCAAAGGCTCTGAGCTACAGCTATAGCAGATACCGTGTTTCCCCCCCCAAAAAAAATTAAGACCGGGTCTTATATTAATTTTTGCTCCAAAAGATGCATTGGGGCTTATTTTCTGGTTAGGATTTATATTTGGGGAAATAAGGTATTAAATGCATCCCTCTGGCTGACAATCTTAAATGGGGCTTATTTTTGGGGTGGGGCTTATATTACGAGTGTCCTGAAAAATCATGCTAGGGCTTGTTTTCCGGTTGGGTCTTATTTTGGGGGAAACACGGTATTCGTAGCATATTCCCAGTCTGTCCTTTGCTTCCAGTGGCTTCCAAACTTCCTATTACATCTGTGAGAAAAGTTTGAGCAACACCTGGTGTTTGGCAAAGCGGTCCTTAATCAGGGAGCCCATGATCTGCTGAGGTGATCTGGTAGTGCTGATGTATGGGATGATAAAATTCCCATGGGTTTTTTCAGCATAGCAGATCCAACCTGAAAGAGAAACGTTTTAAAGAATTAAACCAATCTGCTGTCTATCTCTGGGTCAATGAAAGCTACATGCAAAGATGGGCCACGACCCAACTTAAGAAGGGCTGCACAAGGAGTTCTTTTTCCCACCCTTTAAACTAAATATAACCAGACACCTAAATATGGATCAAGGCCCACACGTTTGGGCAAAACGATAAAAGAAATTGCACAGATTATGGTAAATAAAGAAATGTGGTAATTGCAAAAGGTATTTCTGAATCTCCTTCACAGTGAGCTCACAAAGGCACAATCCCTTTACATGATTTGAAACACTTCTTGGTTGTTCCCCCCCCCCCCAGGCTGAATTGCCAATTATGGGAAAAGCTGCCAACAGATGCGCTTTATGCCTCCTGTGTTTTCCATGCCTTACACACCATCGCTCAGAGTATGGGAATCAGGCAGGACATATGTAAGTCTCAAAATTGCCTGCTTGGCTCTGAAAATGCAAATACAGGTAGTCCTCTAAAGAATTCTAGTTCCCCGATCGTCCTGCTTGCCCTACAAGTTGAATAACAGAGTTGGAAGGGACGTTGGAGGTCTTGTCCAACCCCCTGCTCAAGCAGGTGACCCTATACCATTCCAGACAAGTGGCTGTCCAATCGTCTCTTAAAAGCCCCCAGTGATGGAGCACCCACAATTTCTGGAGGCAAGCTGTTCCACTGGTTAATTGTCCTCACTGTTAGGAAGTTACTCCCTTATTTCTAGGTTGCTTCTCTCTTGATTAGTTTCCAACCATTGTTTCTTGTCTTGCCCTCTGGTGCTTTGGAGAATAGCTTCACTCCCTTACAGCCCCAATTGGGAATAGAATTTCAATAGTAGGTCATTGTGGTCATAGCACTCAGGAGATTGGACCTGGGTTTTTTAATTATTTTTATAGTGGTTGTTGGTGAATCACATGGTTGTAAGTCCAAATCATGCAGTTGATAAGTGAATCCATTCTCCCGAATGGGTATTTTTTTTTTGCAAACTGGCAAAATACACCAGAAACTGCTAGAAAACAATGCAAATCAGAGTCAAATGACCACAGGATGCTTCAATCAGTCATAAATGTGAGCCAGTTGCCCAACGCCTGTAATCCAATCATGTGACTGGAGAAGGGAGGCATGTTTTACAACAGTCGGAAATGCTTTATCGGACCATAAAGAATTTTTCCAAGGCTGTCATACTTTGAAATTTAAAACTTACTAATCATAAAACAAGGACTACCTACAGTTGTGGCCAAAATTGTGAAAACCTTTTGGGAAAAGTGTATTTTTGATGGCTAATAACACCACTTTTTTTGGGAGTAGTACCATAAAATTATATATCAATGGAAAGATAATTTAATCAAGAATGTAATGCAACATAGTTTGTTCAATTATATGTACTGTATTCTATGAAAAGTTATAGCCAAATAACCAGAAAAAGTAAGCACAACTTACTTAGGTTGGTATCAGGTAGCTTTCCTTCATCTGATTGTAGCCAATGAGCATGAGTGTTTAGAGAGCCAATTAGGTGTCATCTTGTTTTGGCAATGAGCCAATCAGATCACAGTAGGATTCAGTTACTGATGTCATGTATTGAAGCTGAGAGGAGGACATTTGTCAGTGTGTTATGGAATCGCTATCAAGTTGGTTGGGGTTTTTTTTGTGTTCTTTCATTTAGTGAGCTTGTAAAACATAATAAAATTAAAGTAATGGTGCAAAGAGTTGACCAGTTGCCCAGAAAGCGATGTAATAGTGAACAAGGCTACAGTTATAAAGAAATTAGAAGAAAAATTGGTGGAAACTTAACCAAAGGTGGCATTTCTACTGTACACTTTTTCCCAAAAGGTTTCCATAATTTTGGCTACTACTGTACAATTTACCTTTGAATTTCTTTAAAATTTTCCTGTAATTTCTTAAAATGCGGTGTTAGATTTGTAGCCAATTATGGTGGTCAGATCTAGGGCACATAATTACATCAAGGAGAGTCGTGCTTCCATCTTCACTCCCCTCTGGTGCCAGGTGATGTTTACTTACCAGGGCAGGCAGCGGCTAACATGGGCAAAGCCTTCTTATCTTCTGCTCGTCTCTGGAAACGCTGCATAAATTCCCACTGGCTCTCCAGCAAACTGAAGTTCCTGGCGAAAGTTGTGTCAAAGACAAAATGCACACCTGACAAAGGAGAAGGAAGAGAAGAAGTGTTGAACAGATACTACAAGGAAGCGCAATTCAGGATGACATTTGGTCAAGTCGGCTGCAGCAAGGAAGAGGCCGCAGCCATCGATGATGATGATGATAATAATAACAACAACAATAATAAAGTTGGAAGGGACCTTGGAGGCCATCTAGTCCAACCCCTTGCTCAGGCAGGAAACCCTATACCATTTCAGACTCTTCTTTAAAACTTCCAGTGTTGGAGCATTCACCGCTTCTGGAGGCAGGTTGTTCCACTGGTTAATTGTTCTAACTGCTCAGCATCCCTTTTGAGAATTTCAAGGAGCAAACTGGCTGAGAGAGGACAGCGCAGTCTTTATATGCAAATCTCTTAGCACCATTTTCAAATCAAAATTACTCACCTAAATTCTTAAAGAAGGCCGTCAGCTTCTTAGCTGCATCTAAAGGAGTCATTCCGAATCTCGCAGCTAAAGAAGCTCTGGACTGTGGAGATACAGACACCACCACCAATTTCTTGGATGAACTGGATGCCTTTTAGTTAAAAAAAAACAAACAAACACCAAAGGAAGAAAAAAAAACACCCATAACTGCACTGAGCTAGCATACTGATATTTGTATAACATAAGGCAAGCGAACTATTTCTATATGTTTAATACATAATAATAATAATAATAATAATAATAATAATAATAATAATAATAATAATAATAATAATAATAATAATAGAGTTGGGAAAGACCTTGGAGGTCATCGAGTCCAACTCCCTGCTCAGGCAGGAAACCCTATACCATTTCGGACAAATGGCTGTCCAGTCTCTTCTTAAAAACCTCCAGTGTTGGAGCATTCACCGCTTCTGGAGGCAGGTTGTTCCACTGGTTAATTGTTCTAACTGTTAGGAAGTTTCTCCTTAGTTCTAGGTTTCCATCCGTTGCTTCTTGTCCTACCTTCAGGTGCTTTGGAAAATAGCTTGACTCCCTCTTCTTTGGGGCAGCCCCTGAGATATTGGAAGACTGCTATCATGTCACCCCTCGTCCTTCTCTTCATTAAACTGGACATACCCAATTCCAGCAGCCGTTCCTTATGTTTTAGCTTCCAGTCCCCTGATCATCTTTATTGCTCTTCTCTGTACTCTTTCTAGAGTCTCAACATCTTTTTTACATTGTGGTGACCAAAACATGAAATATACCTCTTCATTAGAGGAGCTAAAATTAATATTAAAAGTTGACCCCTGGTGAATTGATGAACACATCCCCTTTCGCTCTATTCCTCCCCCCGCCCATACTGAATGTAGAAAATGATTAAAAACGGTAATAGAAAAAGAGAAAGTTGAAGGCCATCGAAGTACAGCTCCTTGTTTAGTGCAAGATTCAAAATTAAACACAAGGACCTCATCGCTAGATTCTTGGTTCTAATTTGTTCCCTCCGCCCTATTTAGTCCGTCTTGTTCAAATGCTAAGTCACACACCTTATTGGCGTTCAGCACTTTGCAGAGCTCTTCGTGGCTCTGCTGAGTGATTAGGACACTCTCCGCCGAGGTGATGCAACCGCTGCAGGCCAAGCAGTCATTCAGGGTAATCTTGGCCCTCTCCAGTCTTTGGGACCCGCCGTCCTAGGAAGGAAGCCATCGAATGGGCTGCTGTCAGCACCCTGGAAAAAGTAATTACGAGGGGCATCCACAGGGAAGGTTAAAAAGTCAGGAGGGGAGCTGCAACCACACAAGCGAAGCCCCACCACTCTTTTTACACGCCGCGTGGCTGTGACTACCATCTTGACCAGGGGCCTTCAAACTTAGCCCTTTTCTGACTTGGGGACTTCAACTCCCAGAATTCCTCAGCCAGCTGACTCCTGATCTTGACCTTTTTGACAAACATATACACTCCAGGTACAGGTAGTCCTCGACTTACAACAGTGCATTTAGTGACTGTTCAAAGTTACAACAGCGCTGAAAAAGTGATGTACGATCGTTTTTTAAACTTACGACCGTTGCGGCATCCCCATGATTGAAATTCAGTCGCTTGGCAACTGACTCATATTTATGATGGTGGCAGTGTCCCGGGATCACATGATCCCCTTTTGTAACCTTCCGACAAGCAAAGTCAATGGGGGAAGCCAGATTCACTTAACAACCGTGCTGCTAATTTAATAACTGTAGTGATTCACTTAACAACAGTGGCAAGAAAGGTCGTCAAATGAAGCCAAACTCGCTTAACAAATATCTCACTTAGCAACAGAAATTTTGGAGTCAACTGTGGTCATAAGTGGAGGACTACCTGTACTCCTGTTCACTTCCCACTTTTGTTACAGAGTTCCTACTATCAAAGACACTAGAGGTCTTACAGATTTCTTTTGCTCTGTTCCACAGAGATTTGTGCTAGACTATACCCTTGAGAACACTTAATTTGTTGTCAAAAGTTTGGGTTTCACAGCAAAAACTAAGATAAGTTTCTGATTATGACAAAAATGAACCACATCAATTGCTAGTCCTCCAAACTAGAGCTATTTCCAGCCCAACAAAAAGTCACGTTAAAGTTGGTTTGTGTTGCACAGTTACTAATCACGGTTAAACATGTTGGAAAAAAAGCTTGTTCTATAGTCTCCAAAATACACTCAAACAGGGGAAAGAAAAACTTTACCTGGCCAACTTGGAAATAACTTCCATCATCTTCAATACGGATCTTAGCTGCTACTTTCCCAGACTTCTCAACCTTAATTGGCTTTATGCATTCCTGAAAGGGAAATCAAACAATGAAATGAACCAACATGCCAACAAACATCTGTAACAAAAACAAAACATAAATGTAAAAATCTGTGGAAGTAAGGAATTCTGGGAGTTGAAGTCCACAAGTCATCAAAGGGCCAAGTTTGAAGACCCCTGACCTAAACCGACTCCCGCTTTCCCAACTGGCAGCGAACGAAGCCACTTTAACAAAGGCCGCTTCCTCTCCCCCTAGAGAGGGAAACCCGAACCCAGTGAGGGCGATAGAAGGCCCCTCCTCACGGCTGCGCTTGTGGCACAGCGACGCTGAGGCAAGCGGAGAAGGCAGCTCCTGCCAAGCCGGCCTCCGGACCGGCTCAGTCCCCTTCGGCCTCTGCCAGGACAGGGCTACCGATAAGGCCTGCAAACGTCGCTTCGGTCAAGCGACGCCGACCCCGGCCTGACGCCTACCTGCGAGGGCCCGATGAAATCGTCCAGGTCGGTCAGCTGCAGAGCGCCGCTGAAAGGCGACGCCACCGCCATCTTGCGCCCGCCTTGCCGTAAAGCGCGAGCCGCGCTTCCGCAAAAGGCGGCGAGGCCACGGGCCCTCCTGTCGTAAAAGCCGCCGCGAAGCAGGCGCACGAGGCTCCGCCCACTCTCCGCCTGAAGGGGCGGTTCGAGAGACCGACGTAGGGAGAAGAGCCCGGCGCACGAGGCTCCGCCCACTCTCCTCCCGAGGGGGGCGGTTTTTTGAGGGAACCTACGTAGGGAGGCTCACGAGGCTCCGCCCACTCTCCTCCCGGGGGGGCGGTTCGAGAGACCTACGTAGGGAGAAGAGCCGAGCGCCCGAGGCCCCGCCCACTCTCCTCCCGGGGGGGCGGTTCGAGAGACCTACGTATGGAGAAGAGCCGGGCGCACAAGGCTCCGCCCATTCTCCCGACGGGGGCGGTTTGATGGAACCTACGTAGGGAGAAGAGCCCGGCGCCCGAGGCCCCGCCCACTCTCCTCCCGGGGGGGCGGTTCGAGAGACCGACGTATGGAGAAGAGCCGGGCGCACAAGGCTCCGCCCATTCTCCCGACGGGGGCGGTTTGATGGAACCTACGTAGGGAGAAGAGCCCGGCGCACGAGGCACCGCCCACTCTCCTCGGGGGGCGGTTCGAGAGACCTACGTATGGAGAAGAGCCGGGCGCACAAGGCTCCGCCCATTCGCCCGACGGGGGCGGTTTGATGGAACCTACGTAGGGAGAAAAGCCGAGCGCCCGAGGCCCCGCCCACTCTCCTCCCGGGGGGACGGTTCGAGAGACCTACGTAGTGAGAAGAGCCGGGCGCACAAGGCTCCGCCCATTCTCCCGACGGGGGCGGTTTGATGAAACCTACGTAGGGAGAAGAGCCGAGCGCCCGAGGCCCCGCCCACTCTCCTCCCGGGGGGGCGGTTCGAGAGACCTACGTATGGAGAAGAGCCGGGCGCACAAGGCTCCGCCCATTCGCCCGACGGGGGCGGTTTGATGAAACCTACGTAGGGAGAAGAGCCGGGCGCACGAGGCTCCGCCCATTCTCCCGACGGGGGCGGTTTGATGGAACCTACGTAGGGAGAAGAGCCGGGCGCACGAGGCTCCGCCCATTCTCCTCCCGGGGGGGCGGTTGGAGGCCCGCGGGCCTTTCGCCGAGAGGGCCGAGCGCGGTCGGGTCCTGCGGGCTGAGCTGAACTTTCTTAGGGTGGCAAAGACGGCCCGCCCCGGGACTGGGCTCCGAGACCCCGGCCGGGGGATCGCCCAAGACGACCTCAGCCGTCGCTGAGTAAATGGGGACCCCCAGTCTACAGTGCAGTCCTCGTGGCTGCTCCAAGAAGACCCCCCTCCTCTGATTCAGGGGTCCCTGAGGAGTCCCAGAAAAAAAAAAGTCGCCCCAACGGCTCTCAGAGAGTATTAAGACCAGTTGACGGCATAGAAAGCACAATCTTTCCATTCCTCCCCCCTCCCCATCCTGTCAGAACCTATCATTCTGCCTCCCCCACCCCCAACGAATCTCAACTGTCAATAACTGACCTTCTCTCTCCCGCAGCATCCAATACAATGGAGGAAGCTTCTAGGAAAAGAAGCAAAAACGTCGTCGTCTTCCTCAAAAAATCAGTCCGGTTGCCTTTTCAAAATAACACCACTTTCGAAACTCCCAGAATTATAGATGATCATCAGAATTACCATCGCTCAATCAAGAACGATGTGCTTGAATTAATTTAGTTTGCCTGTTTTTCTTAAACCTTTTCTTCCTTAACTAAATCATAAAGGTATTAAATTATTGTTGTTATTTAAATATTAGATCAGTGGTTCTCAACCTTTTTAATGCCGCGACCCCAACCGGTCATAAGTCGAGGACTAAACCGGTCGTAAGTCAAGGACTAAACCGGTCGTAAGTCGAGGACTACCCAACCAGTCGTAAGTCGAGGACTTTCCCTGCCTGGGAGCGCTGCGCATGCGTGGTTCCGCCCCCTGTGCCGGCCGAGGCGTAGCTGGCAAGCGGCAGAGACGGAGCAGGCCGACCACCAGCTGGCCCAGCCCAAGGGAGGTAAGGCACCCGCCGGAAAAGGGAAACAAAATGGCAGACAAAAAAAAATGGCGGACAGCCTTGCTTGGCGACCCCCGTGAAATGGTCGATCGACCCCAAATGGGGTCCTGACCCACAGGTTGAGAACCACTGTATTAGATGGAGTCCAAACACGATACAGAAGAACCCAGATGGAGGCAATCAGTGTTTGGATACTTGGAGGCTGCCCAAAGTCAGCAGATCAAGGACTTGTGCAAAGGAAAATGACCTGGATGAAGGGAGAGCTGTTGGGTGCTCATTAGATAACCTGAATACGGTTTCTATTGTTGGTCCCCTTTTCTTTTATGTACTTCTGCAAGGAGCAAAGGAGTCCATAAAGGCTCTTGATGCGGGTGAAGAAGGAGAGTGCAAAAGTTGGCTTGAAACTCAACATTAAGAAAACCAAGATCATGGCACCCGGCCCTCTCCTGGCGAGTAGATGGGGAAGAAATGGAGGTAGTGACAGATTTTATCTTCCTGGGCTCCAAGATCACCACAGATGGGGACTGCAGCCAAGAAATTAAAAGACGCTTGCTCCTGGGGAAGAAAGCTATGTCAAATCTAGACAGCATATTAAAAAGCAGAGACATCACCCTGCCAACAAAAGTGCGTATAGTCAAGGCCATGGTTTTCCCAGTTGCAATGTATGGCTGTGAAAGTTGGACCATAAGAAAGGCTGAGCGCCAAAGAATTTAGGCCTTTGAACTATGGTGCTGGAGAAGACTCCTGTGAGTCCCTTGGACTGCAAGGCGATCAAACCGGTCAGTCCTAGAGGAGATCAACCCCGACTGCTCTTTAGAAGGCCAGATCCTGAAGTTGAAACTCAAGTACTTTGGCCACCTAATGAGAAGGAAGGACTCACTGGAGAAGAGCCTAATGCTGGGAAAATTGAGGGCAATAGAAGAAGGGGACGACAGAGAATGAGGTGGCTGGATGGAGTCACTGAAGCAGTAGGCGTGAGCTTAAATGGACTCCAGAAGATGGTAGAGGACAGGAAGGCCTGGAGGAACGTCCATGGGGTCGCGATGAGTGGCACACGACTTCGCAACTAACAACAACAAAGATCAAGTCTTGGTTGAGGGGCAGAGAGGAGATTTGTTGATACAAGAAGAGACATTTCTGTAGATGAGCAGCACTTGGTTTCTTCACTTGAGTTTGACCTTGGGATGGTTAGTTGGCCTTGGAGGGGAACCACTAAAACCAGAAAGTTTCTCTTCTTTCTCCACTCCTTTTCTCTTTCAGAAATGGAACACCATGAACTGGTGTGGCCATCCAGTGCCAACTTAAAAAAATGTCTTGGGCACCAAGGGATTACCACCTTGGTATTCTTTGGGCTCTACGTGCTGGTTGACCTTTGCATTTTTCTCCTGCTCATTCCCAAGACAGTGGCATCACCATGACCCAGGAAACCCTAGGGCACTGAAAGCATGGGTAATATTGAAGCAAAATGGATAACTTCGGTGATTACCAGTGTGATCTGAACGTGTGACCTGCAATGTTTAATATTGGTGTTAAACTGTAGATTCTCCTCCTGAAATGCTGGGAATATGAGAAGGTAGATCTTGTACTTTTTCATACCCAACCGACCTCTTAGGTACTTCACTTGATGTTCACAACCATGTTCACAGNCTGGCTCAGGAATTCTGGGAGTTGAAGTCCACGAGTCATGAGGGGGCCATAGTTCCCCATGCTGGCTCAGGAATTCTGGGAGTTGAAGTCCACGAATCATGAAGGGGCCATAGTTCCCCCATGCTGGCTCAGGAATTCTGGGAGTTGAAGTCCACGAGTCCTAAAAGAGCCAAGGTTGCCTACCCCTGGTTTAGATCTTTACCTGTTGTAATCACACAGTCAACCTCACGGGTTTGGTGCTTTTCAATGAAGAAATCTGGCCTGGAAGCTTCTAGCTTTTTGTCATAGCAAGGCATCACAGTTACGTGATAGATTTGGTCTGGTGTCAGGCACTGGAACAAAAGAGTGTCGAAATTGCAAAAACTGCCAAAAGACTCCTTGGCTCCTAACTTCCCAAGAGCGGATGCAACTGAAAGAACAGGGCCAGATCCCAATCTGGGGCCTGAGCTGTCGGGCAATTAGAAATTGACCACTGAGCTCAGCCTTTGCCTTCCCCAAAGCGTTTATATCACTTCCCCCTCTCCTGCTCTTCAAGTGATGGCCAGGGGATTCTGGGAATTGTATAGTTATACATCTGAAAAGTAGCATACACAGAATAGTTGATATAAGTGCCCCACTGGGGGCAGTCACATGGGTAAATCGCATCGCACTCATGACAGAAGCCCCATGGCGCTTCTGGGTTGAAAGGATTAGCCGGTGACATCACCATTACCCAGGAGGTGCCCAGTTAGGAGCTCCTTTCAGGAGTTGGAGCAAAGGACGGGAGCTCACCCACCCCGTGGCAGCGCTTGGGTCTTGAACGTGGACTTGCTAACCTCCAACCCAGCATCCTAACCATGCATAGGAAAGAAAGAGTTGGCTGCCCCTTTGGTAAAACACACACACACACTTTCTTTACAGAGGGAGCAAAGGCTCTGAGCTACAGCTATAGCAGATACCGTGTTTCCCCCCCCCAAATTAAGACTGGGTCTTATATTAATTTTTGCTCCAAAAGATGCATTGGGGCTTATTTTCTGGTTAGGATTTATATTTGGGGAAATAAGGTATTAAATGCATCCCTCTGGCTGACAATCTTAAATGGGGCTTATTTTTGGGGTGGGACTTATATTAAGAGTGTCCTGAAAAATCATGCTAGGGCTTGTTTTCCGGTTGGGTCTTATTTTGGGAGAAACACGGTATTCGTAGCATATTCCCAGTCTGTCCTTTGCTTCCAGTGGCTTCCAAACTTCCTATTACATCTGTGAGAAAAGTTTGAGCAACACCTGGTGTTTGGCAAAGCGGTCCTTAATCAGGGAGCCCATGATCTGCTGAGGTGATCTGGTAGTGCTGATGTATGGGATGATAAAATTCCCATGGGTTTTTTCAGCATAGCAGATCCAACCTGAAAGAGAAACGTTTTAAAGAATTAAACCAATCTGCTGTCTATCTCTGGGTCAATGAAAGCTACATGCAAAGATGGGCCACGACCCAACTTAAGAAGGGCTGCACAAGGAGTTCTTTTTCCCACCCTTTAAACTAAATATAACCAGACACCTAAATACGGATCAAGGCCCACACGTTTGGGCAAAACGATAAAAGAAATTGCACAGATTATGGTAAATAAAGAAATGTGGTAATTGCAAAAGGTATTTCTGAATCTCCTTCACAGTGAGTTCACAAAGGCACAATCCCTTTACATGATTTGAAACACTTCTTGGTTGTCCCCCCCCCCCCAGGCTGAATTGCCAATTATGGGAAAAGCTGCCAACAGATGCGCTTTATGCCTCCTATGTTTTCCATGCCTTACACACCATCGCTCAGAGTATGGGAATCAGGCAGGACATATGTAAGTCTCAAAATTGCCTGCTTGCCTCTGAAAATGCAAATACAGGTAGTCCTCTTAAGAATTCTAGTTCCCCGATCATCCTGCTTGCCTTCTCTACAAGTTGAATAACAGAGTCGGAAGGGACGTTGGAGGTCTTCTAGTCCAGGGCTTTTCAACCAGTGGTACGGGTACCACCTGTGGTACATTGGCACCTGGCAGGTGGTACACGACCATCCTAGAAACGTGGTAGCGAGGGAGGGGAATGAGCTGAACCGGCGGCAGCACTGTACAAGCCTGAGCGAGAGACGGCTGGACCTGCAGGGCTGTCAGGGCTCAGCGGAAGTGCCAGGATCAGCACCAGGCTCCAGCTGGAGCTTGGCGCTGATCCTGGCATTTCTGCTGAGCCCAGAAGAAGCGCCGATCAGCTGGAATGTTGCAGCATCTCCAGGGTCTTGTGATTTACATTCAGATGCTTGGCAACTGGTTCATATTTATGACGGTCACAGTGTCCCAGGGTCATGTGAAGTGACCAAAACCTGCTGCAACCACCCAGCAGACGGGGGGAATAAACACCAAACACCCCCCCCACCCCGGTTGCCAATCCTCAACAGAAATGCTCATAACAATGGAAACCTCAGACAGGAGGAAGAGCGCCACCGGGTGGGCAGGCAGGTGTCTTGCTCGGCTGTGGCTTGGGGGGCTCTTTTTTCAGTGCCATTGTAACTTCGAACAGTCACTAAGCGAACTGTTGTAAGTCGAGAACTACCTGTACTTTATCACTTTTTTCCTTTTTTCTTTTTTTGGTCATCAAGTTTTTGACACCTTGCTAGGCGATGGGTGGTACTCGGATGTTGCCATATCCTAAAAGTGGTACAAGGGGTGAACAGGTTGAAAAGCCCTGTTCTAGTCCAACCCCCTGCTCAAGCAGGTGACCCTATACCATTCCAGACAAGTGGCTGTCCAATCGTCTCTTAAAAGCCCCCAGTGATGGAGCACCCATAATTTCTGTAGGCAAGCTGTTCCACTGGTTAATTGTCCTCACTGTTAGGAAGTTACTCCCTTATTTCTAGGTTGCTTCTCTCTTGATTAGTTTCCAACCATTGTTTCTTGTCTTGCCCTCTGGTGCTTTGGAGAATAGCTTCACTCCCTTACAGCCCCAATTGGGAATAGAATTTCAATAGTAGGTCATTGTGGTCATAGCACTCAGGAGATTGGACCTGGGTTTTTTAATTATTTTTATAGTGGTTGTTGGTGAATCACATGGTTGTAAGTCCAAATCATGCAGTTGATAAGCGAATCCATTCTCCCGAATGGGTATTTTGTTTTGCAAACTGGCAAAATACACCAGAAATTGCTAGAAAACAATGCAAATCAGAGTCAAATGACCACAGGATGCTTCAATCAGTCATAAATGTGAGCCAGTTGCCCAACGCCTGTAATCCAATCATGTGACTGGAGAAGGGAGGCATGTTTTACAACAGTCGGAAATGCTTTATCGGACCATAAAGAATTTTTCCAAGGCTGTCATACTTTGAAATTTAAAACTTACTAATCATAAAACAAGGACTACCTACAGTTGTGGCCAAAATTGTGAAAACCTTTTGGGAAAAGTGTATTTTTGATGGCTAATAACACCACTTTTTTTGGGAGTAGTACCATAAAATTATATATCAATGGAAAGATAATTTAATCAAGAATGTAATGCAACATAGTTTGTTCAATTATCTGTACTGTATTCTATGAAAAGTTATAGCCAAATAACCAGAAAAAGTAAGCACAACTTACTTAGGTTGATATCAGGTAGCTTTCCTTCATCTGATTGTAGCCAATGAGCATGAGTGTTTAGAGAGCCAATTAGGTGTCATCTTGTTTTGGCAATGAGCCAATCAGATCACAGTAGGATTCAGTTACTGATGTCATGTATTGAAGCTGAGAGGACATTTGTCAGTGTGTTATGGGATCGCTATCAAGTTGGTTGGGGTTTTTTTTGTGTTCTTTCATTTAGTGAGCTTGTAAAACATAATAAAATTAAAGTAATGGTGCAAAGAGTTGACTGGTCGCCCAGAAAGCGATGTAAAATAGTATTATTAAGTGAACAAGGCTACAGTTATAAAGAAATTAGAAGAAAAATTGGTGGAAACTTAACCAAAGGTGGCATTTCTACTGTACACTTTTTCCCAAAAGGTTTCCATAATTTTGGCTACTACTGTACAATTTACCTTTGAATTTCTTTAAAATTTTCCTGTAATTTCTTAAAATGCGGTGCTAGATTTGTAGCCAATTATGGTGGTCAGATCTAGGGCACATAATTACATCAAGGAGAGTCGTGCTTCCATCTTCACTCCCCTCTGGTGCCAGGTGATGTTTACTTACCAGGGCAGGCAGCGGCTAACATGGGCAAAGCCTTCTTATCCTCTGCTCGTCTCTGGAAACGCTGCATAAATTCCCACTGGCTTTCCAGCAAACTGAAGTTCCTGGCGAAAGTTGTGTCAAAGACAAAATGCACACCTGACAAAGGAGAAGGAAGAGAAGAAGTGTTGAACAGATACTACAAGGAAGCGCAATTCAGGATGACATTTGGTCAAGTCGGCTGCAGCAAGGAAGAAGCTGCAGCCATCGATGATGTTGATGATGATGATAATAATAATAATAATAACAACAACAATAATAAAGTTGGAAGGGACCTTGGAGGCCATCTAGTCCAACCCCTTGCTCAGGCAGGAAACCCTATACCCTTTCAGACAAATGGCTGTCCAGTCTCTTCTTAAAAACTTCCAGTGTTGGAGCATTCACCACTTCTGGAGGCAGGTTGTTCCACTGGTTAATTGTTCTAACTGCTCAGCATCCCTTTTGAGAATTTCAAGGAGCAAACTGGCTGAGAGAGGACAGCACAGCCTTTATATGCAAATCTCTTAGCACCATTTTCAAATCAAAATTACTCACCTAAATTCTTAAAGAAGGCCGTCAGCTTCTTAGCTGCATCTAAAGGAGTCATTCCGAATCTTGCAGCTAAAGAAGCTCTGGACTGTGGAGATACAGACACCACCACCAATTTCTTGGATGAACTGGATGCCTTTTAGTTAAAAAAAAAAAAAAAAAAAAAAAAAAAAAAAAAAAAAAAAAACACCAAAGGAAGAAAAAAAAAACCCATAACTGCACTGAGCTAGCATACTGACATTTGTATAACATAAGGCAAGCGAACTATTTCTATATGCTTAATACATAATAATAATAATAATAATACTAACAACAACAACAACAACAACAACAACAACAACAACAACAACAATAATAATAATAATAATAGAGTTGGAAAAGACCTTGGAGGTCATCGAGTCCAACCCCCTGCTCAGGCAGGAAACCCTACACCATTTCGGACAAATGGCTGTCCAGTCTCTTCTTAAAAACTTCCAGTGTTGGAGCATCCACAGATTCTAGAGGCAGGTTGTTCCACTGGTTAATTGTTCTGACTGTCAGGAAGTTTCTCCTTAGTTCCAGGTTGCTTCTCGCCTTGATAAGTTTCCATCGATTGTTTCTTGTCCTGCCTTCTGGTGCTTTGGAAAATAGCTTGACTCCCTCTTCTTTGTGGCAGCCCCTGAGATACTGGAACACTGCTATCATGCCCCCCCTCGCCCTTCTCTTCATTAAACTAGACATACCCAATTCCAGCAACCGTTCCTTATATGCTTTAGCCTCCAGTCCCCTAATCATCTTTGTTGCTCTTCTCTGGACTCTTTCTAGAGTCTCAACATCTTTTTTACATCATGGTGACCAAAACATGAAATATACCTCTTCATTAGAGGAGCTAAAATTAATATTAAAAGTTGACCCCTGGTGAATTGATGAACACATCCCCTTTCGCTCTATTCCTCCCCCCACCCATACTGAATGTAGAAAATGATTAAAAACGGTAATAGAAAAAGAGAAAGTTGAAGGCCATCGAAGTACAGCTCCTTGTTTAGTGCAAGATTCAAAATTAAACACAAGGACCTCATCGCTAGATCCTTGGTCCCCAATTTGTCCCCTCCGCCCTATTTAGTCCGTCTTGTTCAAATGCTAAGTCACACACCTTATTGGCGTTCAGCACTTTGCAGAGCTCTTCGTGGCTCTGCTGAGTGATTAGGACACTCTCCGCCGAGGTGATGCAACCGCTGCAGGCCAAGCAATCATTCAGGGTAATCTTGGCCCTCTCCAGTCTTTGGGACCCGCCGTCCTAGGAAGGAAGCCATCGAATGGGCTGCTGTCAGCACCCTGGAAAAAGTAATTACGAGGGGCATCCACAGGGAAGGTTAAAAAGTCAGGAGGGGAGCTGCAACCACACAAGCGAAGCCCCACCACTCTTTTTACACGCCGCGTGGCTGTGACTACCATCTTGACCAGGGGTCTTCAAACTTGGCCCTTTTCTGACTTGTGGACTTCAACTCCCAGAATTCCTCAGCCAGCTGTCCACAAGTCAGAAAAGGGCCAAGTTTGAAGACTCCTGATCTTGACCTTTTTGACAAACAGGCACAGGTAGTCCTCGACTTACAACAGTGCATTTAGTGACTGTTCAAAGTTACAACAGCGCTGAAAAAGTGATGTACGATCGTTTTTTAAACTTACGACCGTTGCGGCATCCCCATGATTGAAATTCAGTTGCTTTGCAACTGACTCATATTTATGATGGTGGCAGTGTCCCGAGATCACATGATCCCCTTTTGTGACCTTCTGACAAGCAAAGTCAATGGGGGAAGCCAGATTCACTTAACAACCGTGCTGCTAATTTAACAACTGTAGTGATTCACTTAACAACAGTGGCAAGAAAGGTCGTCAAATGGAGCCAAACTCGCTTAACAAATGTCTCACTTAGCAACAGAAATTTTGGAGTCAATTGTGGTCATAAGTGGAGGACTACCTGTACTCCTGTTCACTTCCCACTTTTGTTACAGAGTTCCTACTATCAAAGACACTAGAGGTCTTACAGATTTCTTTTGCTCTGTTCCACAGAGATTTGTGCTAGACTATACCCTTGAGAACACTTAATTTGTTGTCAAAAGTTTGGGTTTCACAGCAAAAACTAAGATAAGTTTCTGATTATGACAAAAATGAACCACATCAGTTGCTAGTCCTCCAAACTAGAGCTATTTCCAGCCCAACAAAAAGTCACGTTAAAGTTGGTTTGTGTTGTACATTTACTAATCACGGTTAAACATGTTGGGAAAAAAGCTTGTTCTATAGTCTCCAAAATACACTCAAACAGGGGAAAGAAAAACTTTACCTGGCCAACTTGGAAATAACTTCCATCATCTTCAATACGGATCTTAGCTGCTACTTTCCCAGACTTCTCAACCTTAATTGGCTTTATGCATTCCTGAAAGGGAAATCAAACAATGAAATGAACCAACATGCCAACAAACATCTGTAACAAAAACAAAACATAAATGTAAAAATCTGTGGAAGTAAGGAATTCTGGGAGTTGAAGTCCACAAGTCATCAAAGGGCCAAGTTTGAAGACCCCTGACCTAAACCGACTCCCGCTTTCCCAACTGGCAGCGAACGAAGCCACTTTAACAAAGGCCGCTTCCTCTCCCCCTAGAGAGGGAAACCCGAACCCAGTGAGGGCGATAGAAAGCCCCTCCTCACGGCTGCGCTTGTGGCACAGCGACGCTGAGGCAAGCGGAGAAGGCAGCTCCTGCCAAGCCGGCCTCCGGACCGGCTCAGTCCCCTTCGGCCTCTGCCAGGACAGGGCTACCGATAAGGCCTGCAAACGTCGCTTCGGTCAAGCGACGCCGACCCCGGCCTGACGCCTACCTGCGAGGGCCCGATGAAATCGTCCAGGTCGGTCAGCTGCAGAGCGCCGCTGAAAGGCGACGCCACCGCCATCTTGCGCCCGCCTCGCCGTAAAGCGCGAGCCGCGCTTCCGCAAAAGGCGGCGAGGCCACGAGCCCTCCTGTCGTAAAAGCCGCCGCGAAGCAGGCGCACGAGGCTCCGCCCACTCTCCGCCTGAAGGGGCGGTTCGAGAGACCGACGTAGGGAGAAGAGCCCGGCGCACGAGGCTCCGCCCACTTTCCTCCCGAGGGGGGGCGGTTTGAGGGAACCTACGTAGGGAGAAGAGGCGAGCGCACGAGGCTCCGCCCACTCTCCTCCCGGGGGGGCGGTTCGAGAGACCTACGTATGGAGAAGAGCCGGGCGCACGAGGCCCCGCCCACTCTCCTCCCGGGGGGGCGGTTCGAGAGACCTACGTATGGAGAAGAGCCGGGCGCACAAGGCTCCGCCCATTCTCCCGACGGGGGCGGTTTGATGGAACCTACGTAGGGAGAAGAGCCCGGCGCCCGAGGCCCCGCCCACTCTCCTCCCGGGGGGGCGGTTCGAGAGACCTACGTATGGAGAAGAGCCGGGCGCACAAGGCTCCGCCCATTCTCCTCCCGACGGGGGCGGTTTAATGGAACCTACGTAGGGAGAAGAGCCGGGCGCACGAGGCTCCGCCCATTCTCCTCCCGAGGGGCGGTTGGAGGCCCGCGGGCCTTTCGCCGAGAGGGCCGAGCGCGGTCGGGTCGTGCGGGCTGAGCTGAACTTTCTTAGGGTGGCAAAGACGGCCCGCCCCGGGACTGGGCTCCGAGACCCCGGCCAGGGGATCGCCCAAGGCGGCCTCAGCCGTCGCTGAGTAAATGGGGACCCCCAGTCTACAGTGCAGTCCTCGTGGCTGCTCCAAGAAGACCCCCCTCGTCTGATTCAGGTGTCCCTGAGGAGTCCCAGAAAAAAAAAAGTCGCCCCAACGGCTCTCAGAGAGTATTAAGACCAGTTGACGGCATAGAAAGCACAATCTTTCCATTCCTCCCCCCTCCCCATCCTGTCAGAACCTATCATTCTGCCTCCCCCCCCCAACGAATCTCAACTGTCAATAACTGACCTTCTCTCTCCCGCAGCATCCAATACAATGGAGGAAGCTTCTAGGAAAAGAAGCAAAAACGTCGTCGTCTTCCTCAAAAAATCAGTCTGGTTGCCTTTTCAAAATAACACCACTTTCGAAACTCCCAGAATTATAGATGATCATCAGAATTACCATCGCTCAATCAAGAACGATGTGCTTGAATTAATTTAGTTTGCCTGTTTTTCTTAAACCTTTTCTTCCTTAACTAAATCATAAAGGTATTAAATTATTGTTGTTATTTAAATATTAGATCAGTGGTTCTCAACCTTTTTAATGCCGCGACCCCAACCGGTCATAAGTCGAGGACTAAACCGGTCGTAAGTCAAGGACTAAATCGGTCGTAAATCAAGGACTACCCAACCGGTCATAAGTCGAGGACTTTCCCTGCCCGGGAGCACCGCGCATGTGTGGTTCCGCCCCCTGCGCCGGCCGAGGCATAGCTGGCAAGCGGCAGAGACGGAGCAGGCCGACCACCAGCTGGCCCAGCCCAAGGGAGGTAAGGCACCTGCTGGAAAAGGGAAAAAAATGGCGGACAAAAAAAAATGGCGGACAGCCTTGCTTGGCGACCCCCGTGAAATGGTCGATCGACCCCAAATGGGGTCCTGACCCACAGGTTGAGAACCACTGTATTAGATGGAGTCCAAACACGATACAGAAGAACCCAGATGGAGGCAATCAGTGTTTGGATACTTGGAGGCTGCCCAAAGTCAGCAGATCAAGGACTTGTGCAAAGGAAAATGACCTGGATGAAGGGAGAGCTGTTGGGTGCTCATTAGATAACCTGAATACGGTTTCTATTGTTGGTCCCCTTTTCTTTTATGTACTTCTGCAAGGAGCAAAGGAGTCCATAAAGGCTCTTGATGCGGGTGAAGAAGGAGAGTGCAAAAGTTGGCTTGAAACTCAGCATTAAGAAAACCAAGATCATGGCACCCGGCCCTCTCCTGGCGAATAGATGGGGAAGAAATGGAGGTAGTGACAGATTTTATCTTCCTGGGCTCCAAGATCACCGCAGATGGGGACTGCAGCCAAGAAATTAAAAGACGCTTGCTCCTGGGGAGGAAAGCTATGGCAAATTTAGACAGCATATTAAAAAGCAGAGACATCACCCTGCCAACAAAAGTGCGTATAGTCAAGGCCATGGTTTTCCCAGTTGCAATGTATGGCTGTGAAAGTTGGACCATAAGAAAGGCTGAGCGCCAAAGCATTGAGGCCTTTGAACTCTGGTGCTGGAGAAGACTCCTGCGAGTCCCCTGGACTGCAAGGTGATCAAACCGGTCAGTCCTAGAGGAGATCAACCCCGACTGCTCTTTAGAAGGCCAGATCCTGAAGTTGAAACTCAAGTACTTTGACCACCTAATGAGAAGGAAGGACTCACTGGAGAAGAGCCTAATGCTGGGAAAGATTGAGGGCAAGAGAAGAAGGGGACAACAGAGAATGAGGTGGCTGGAGGGAGTAACTGAAGCNGGGTAATATTGAAGCAAAATGGATAACTTCGGTGATTACCAGTGTGATCTGAACGTGTGACCTGCAATGTTTAATATTGGTGTTAAACTGTAGATTCTCCTCCTGAAATGCTGGGAATATGAGAAGGTAGATCTTGTACTTTTTCATACCCAACCGACCTCTTAGGTACTTCACTTGATGTTCACAACCATGTTCACAGCAGAAGCTCAGAGACACAGCTAAATTAGTTATTTTATTGTAGACAAGAAAGAAGCCATATATATGTAGATTTGCCTACTGCAGAAGACAAAAAGTCAATTATTTCTCTGTATCCCTTACTTTACATAGTTTAAATTCTAGTCCCTTTCCAACACTCTGTGGAAATTTGGTTATTTTCTTTTCAGCCTCCAGAATGGGACTTATCTGCTCTAGGTTTGCAAAATGATTCTGTCCAGCCTGAGAATCGCTCCTTTCTGTCTCACTAGATCCAGCTACAAGAATGAAACCTGAACTTCTGTAGCCTCTTGAACCCCAAGTGCCAGGTTGTTTTTTTTTGGGGGGGGGGTGGCATTCTCCAACTACTATTGCTACAAGCGGGCAACAGCTCCTTGGCCTTCAAGTTGTTGTTGGCCTTCCGAGTTGTTATTGGTGGGGATGAGGGATTGGAGAGATTGAATATTGTTAGCTTCTGGTCTTTCGTCCTCTTCTCATCTTCTATATTCCCAAAGGACATCAGACTTCCCATCCTATTTCTGAGTTTGTCCTGGGAAGACAGAAAGTAGGGAAGGGGGAGATATTCTGCCCCAATGACATTTACAGAGGGTGGTGGTTAAGTAAATGAACTTACAACAGTTCATTTAGTGACCACAGTTACAACAGCACTGGAAAAAGTGTCTTATGACTATTTTTCACACGACCGTTGCAGCATCCCCATGGTCACATGATCAAAATTCAGACATTTGGCAACTGGCCTGAATTTATGATGGGGTCACATGATCCCCTTTTGCGACCTTTTGACAAGCAAAGTCAGATGCCCTTAACAATCATGTTACCAACTTAACAACTGTGGCAAGAAAGGTCATAAAGTAGGGCAAAATTCACTTAACTGTCTTGTTTACCAACAGAAATTTGGGGCTCAGTTGTCATAAGTCGAGGACAACCAGGTCACTTCAAGGGTATCACAATACCTTTTTTTTTTTTTTTTTACTATCCACACACCCACCTCTTCATAAACTATCTTGCAGGTTGGGATTCTTGTTAAAAAGCACAGGAGAAAGTTTGAAATGGTAGAAATGTTGTCATGAGGGCTTCGTTTGGAACAGGAAGATGTCTGCTTCAATTCCAATCCCTTCAAGAGGCAGCTTTCCTATTGGAAAGACTTCAAAACTCAGACTTATAAACTTTTTCCTCATAAACAACTTCTTCATAAACTTCTTCCTAATAAACCGAGATGGGCAAAATTGATCTCAGTTCATGAATGGGAGGGCTGCAGAAACAGCAAACATTGGGGCCAAATCACAGATTGCCAAGGGTATAAAATGCCCTCATTGTGCAACCTGACTGGGATTATTCCCTCCAAAAGCTCCGTGGAGGGTAGGAAGGAGGCATCGCTGCTCACAAGGACCATGTGTGAGCTTTGGATTCCGCGTGAAACGAAGAACGAAGCTAGAACAGAAGCTAAGCCAAATTGAATTAAAACTACATTAGAATTCATACAATCGTTCCCCAATGCAAATTCCCCTTCTGCCATATTAAAAAAAATGCAGTAAAACCACAGATTTTTTAGGGTTCTGGAGGCTGCAGTCATGGATGGGGAGGGCTGGGTGCCATTGTGGAGCCCCAGATGATGCCCCACAGCTGTAGTAGGTGGTGGGTTTACTCATTTTTCTGGTTCCTTTGACCCTCCACAATTGCAAAAATTCTACCCTGTTTCTGCCAAAGAGTCCTTCCAGCGCCTGGGATTGGCCTTCTGATTTTTTTTAAAAAAAACACCCTGTTTTGTCGCCAAAGGAAGTGCCATCAGCATGTCCCAAGCGAAGATGGCTGAAAAATGTAAAATAAAAACAATGCCAGTGATAGGTTTACAAGCAACAAAGCAGGGAATGAAGTTGGCACCTGGAAAGTCCCCCAATCCATTTAGGCCAAAAAAAGAATCAAGGCTTGGAAAAGATGCTGGGAATCTTCCAAGATCCATAACCTCCTTTTCGAGAAGCCTGTAGACCCTCAAGGACGGTGCAAATGTTGTTGTTCGTCCATCGATTTTGATGAAGACCTTGACATCTTATGGATTATGGGCCATCAGCGGTGTGTCCGTAGATGGCTGATGAGACCGATGTTGACCCTCAAGGACGGTGCAAATAATAGCCTGACGTTAGCAGACACGTGACTTGGAGGGATTTTGCATTTTGAGTTTCAATGTGTTCTTCAGGAGAGACGAAACTGGGCAAAGAGACTCCGGAGACAAACATGGGTGGGTCCAACTGCTGCTTTCTCCTTGGAAGTGCACCATCATCTCTATCAACAGTGGTCTGGATCCGTGCAGTAGAAATGCATTTTCCAAGGCTTCACAACAGACTTGAGCGCTAGAAACCCATTACAAGAAAACATACCCAGGAATTCAAATTCCCGGTCAAACTTTGAAACCTTTTCGCCTTTGCTAGGTCAAAGGAAACGGCTGGGGACCTCAAAGGCCTGTCCAGATTTTTTTTAGTCAGAAGCAGTTTGTGCTGGAGGATGAGCATGATCAAACCAATATTAAAAAAAAAGAAGCACATTCTGGGAAGATATTTGGCTTCTCTCAGTGCAAGGTGGGATTCGGCTACTTGAAGTCTGCCAGAATATCGCTGAAGATGTTCAGGAAGAGATGCGCGTGGTGGTCTCGGAAGACCAGAGTGGGTCGGAAACGGATCGATCGGTTCCCACTGCCGCCTAATACCACACCTGAGGATAGAGAAAAAAGAAGGAAGTTGCAGAATCAGCTCTCTTTAATCACACAGGACATCATGAAGGCTTTTGATCCCAAGATCTCCTAGATACCGGCAGGGCATGATGTTATAAGCCGCTAACTAAATAAGAAATCAATCAGAACAGAGTTGGAAGGGACCTTGGAGGGCTTCTAGTCCAATCCCCTGCTCAAGCAGAAGACCCTTACCATTCTGGGAAAATGGCTGTCCAATCTCTTCTTAAAAACCTCCAGTGATGAAGCACCCACAACTTCTGAAGGCAAGTCGTTCCACTGCTTAATTTAGTTAATCTCTACCAAATCCTTTTGGCAAAAGTGGGCTTAGGTGACGGATACCGAGGGTCAAAACAAGGCAACTAAGATGCTGGAGGTATCAGCTTGGAGGAATAGGTTGCACCCCTCACCCTCAAGAAGCCCCACATGGATGGAGAAGATCATGGAAGCAAGATCATCAGATTTCAGGAATGCTTTAAAGCTACGGTGGGACAAATACAGAATCTTGGAAACTGAAAGAACAATTTCCCAGCCTCCTTCCTACGGAATTCATTTGCCTGAAATGAAATGTTTCTTTACAGGTTGAGTTGCTATTTATGAGATGAGCTGCTGATAGACTCACCTTCTATCTCTTGATGCCTTCCCTTCCTTTCCTGGCCTCCCCACAATCCTCGGTGTGGGGTGGGGGAACCAGAGATTTCTTGAAGACCATCTAAGAGGGCAGCCTTAGAGCTAAGTACAGGTAATCTTTGCCTTACAGCCACAATTGAGCCCAAAGTTAGCAGTTGTTGACCGAGTTTTGCCCCATTTTATGACTCTTCTTGCCACAGTTTAGTAACGCAGCTGTTAACTGAATCTGACTTCGTCTATTGACTTGGTTGGAAACTGCCTGGGAAGTGACCCCATGACCCTGAGACATGCAACCATCATGAATACAGGCCAATTGCCAAGCATCCAAATGTATCCCATGGTTCTAAGTGTGGAAAATGGTCCTAAGTCACTTTTTTCAGTGACGTTGTAATTTCAAACAGTCACTCAATGAATGGTTGTAAATCAAGGACTACCTGTACGTGGAATTCATTGGAACAGGAAAATATTGGGGAGTTGGAGGCATAATGGAGAAAGGACTTGAGTTAGAAAATGAAAGGCCCTGCCTGTGGCTGAAGTGGCAGGTGACACTTAGCTTCCGAATTTGACCCACAAGGGGAAATTTTCATCTGCTCTCATGAATGGTGAGAATCTTAGATAAGCAGGACAAACGAGGAGAAAAAACTTAGAAGGCTCTACCACCCAGCGTCTCGGCTTTCACTAGATGCCACTGCTAAGATTTTCAGTGAAAGCTGGAAATGGAATAGGCAGATCTATTTCTTCTGCTAGGGAGATCAAAAGCTTGCTGCTTTGTCCCTGTGATTTTTATATTTCATTACCCAATGAGTGCCCAATGATGTTACCTAGTTTGGTAATGAAATGTCTGCAAGAACAAATGGATAGATTGACCTTAGAGATTAAAGAGAAAGAAGATTCAGTTCACTTTAGAACATGGGATAATTTTTACCAATGGTTAGGAAAACGAACTAGTGAGAAATGAATGTGATATGTTATTTTGAATAGATATTAGTAAGAAGAATGATACGCATTAACTAACTGATACCGTTTATGATTACTGTTTATTACACTTATTATAGTTACTTATTTCTATATCAACTATTGTTAACTGAACATATACACCCGGACAATAGTCTGTTTGCTAAAGATTGAAAATGTTATTGGGGGATAACCCCAGTGTGGATCCCAACCCCTTCCCAACCTCAATCCTGATCCCAACCCCACCCTAAACCTTAATCGCTATCCTGATCCTATTCTATCCCCAACCCTATAAAACTCAATAAAATCTTTAAAAAAAAAAGTGTCTGCAAGAAAACAGCCAAACTCAGAAAGCACCAAGGACTCTATCTGGGCTACAGATCTTTTCTTCTGTTTGAACCCACAATTTGTAAAATATCATTTTTTCATGAAAGCATGGCTTTTTTTCTTGTTTTCCTCCCTCCTTCATTCAAAATGGAATCTGTTACCATTTTATTATTAAAATTACATATGTATTGTGCAAGCAGTTGTATAATAGACTATGAAGTTAAAAAAGGTCCCTAAAGAAAGCAGCAGCAAATTGCTGTCCTATTTTTGCCCACCCCAACTTGAGGTTAAACTCAACTTGGAGGTAGTTTTATTTTTTAAAACATTAAATATACATTAATACTTCCCAGCCTTTGAGATCCAGGTGTAGGATACAGAGACTCAGCCCTGGTTCAAAGCACAATGCCTCACCTTTGTTTCTTGCTATTTCAATGAGCTTGTTCCGAATTGCGTCATTTGGAGTGTCAAAGGAGCAGAACGTCCCTCGTCCCCGGGCTCGGCTGATGAGATGGGGATAGCGACTCTACAAAAAAGGGAAAGATTAATCACAGTTTGTCATCTTCTTGGAAAATCAGGCAAGGCATGCTGAAACATAAAGGAAACATCTAGGAAACATAATTCCTAGATGCTGGACTTAAAAAGAGTGCCTGGTTTTCCCAGCTGGCAGAAAACATAAAAAATCACAATCACGTTAACTGCGGCAGATTGCAGCGGTGCCGTAACAGCCATAAATTTGCAAATACATTTGATCTGGGGTTCCTTGAAATTTAAATTCCATGGGAATAATGGGTTTTCGATTTTGTACACTTTCTTTAAATAATCAGATTAAAGATACCTTGTTTCAAAAATGGTTGCCCTCTGATGCACTGCTTCAGGCAATCAAAGGATACAAACAGACAGGAGTATAACAGAATATCAGAGTTGGAAGGGACCTTGGAGGCCTTCTAGTCCAACCCCCTGCTCAAGCAGGAGACCCTAGACCCATGGTGGCAAACCTATGGCACGCGTGCCACAGGTGGCACACAGAGCCCTCTCTGTGGGCACGCACGCCTAGGCCTTCAGCTGGGTTTTATAAAACCTTTTTGCTTTAGGCCTCCGCCACAGTGTGCAAAAAAAAAAAGGTTCAATCAATCAATTTCAACTTCTCGCGGGAAATAAAAAGATCTCACAAAATTGGAATTGATTGATTGAACTTTTTAGTCCCACCCAGTCTGCCATTGCCACGCCCACCCAATGGGCCACGCCCACCCAGCACCCGACGATACATGTGGGTTTTGAGTTGCAGTTTAGGCACTCGGTCTCTAAAAGGTTCGTCATCACTGCCCTAGACCATGCCAGTCAAATGATTGTTCAATCTGTTCTTAAAAGTCTCCAGTGATGGAGCATTTTTTTGAAGGCCTTGTGAAAGCAAGCCGTTCCACTGATTGTTTTAACTGTCCAGAAATTTCTCCTTAGTTCTAGTTAGTTCTCTCCTTGATTAGATTCCATCCATTGCTTTAGACTTTTAGTAGCATATAGATAGCTTCTTAACATTTTCAGCCTCCAGCCATTCTTGGATCTGTCTCATGGTTCCAACAGATGAAACTCTTCAAAGAACTTTCAGGCATTGTTTACCTTAAAGAATCTTTATTTGAGCAGCATAGCATCGGCACATACATAAGTGAAGCCAAAATCTGGATTCCCCTCCCCTTAGCACATAGTATCAGAACACAATTCCCTCCTCTAATTAACAGTCATAAATCACATTCTCCAATTAGTTTGAAATGCAGGCTTTCCCTTCTGTTCTAAGCCCACCATTTCTTACCGTCTCTTATTTCAAAAGCCCTGAATTCTCACACTATTACAATATTGTTATGTCTAACTAACTCCCATCACATTCCTCCCCCCCCCAGTATCATCTAATTCTAAGAGTAAAGCATAAGAAAGAAAAAGGCTGCATCTCTATATGTTGTCAAAGCAAGAACATCCAATGTTAGCAGCGTTGACACTCTGCATACTGTGGGCTTCACCTGTAGCAACAGGTATGTGTGAAATAAAGAAAGGCTACGGAGTCTGGCTTTTCTAACCAGAGAAGCCAACCAATAGTAACTCCACTGGTGGGCATCAAAGATCCCCGCCTACACTGACGAGATCTTGCCCATCTCTTTTAATATTTAAGTATAAAAACCCAGGTGGCTCCAGATCCAACAAACTGTCCAAATCTGTTAATTCGTAGTAAAAGTAATAGAAGATAATAGCAGAGTTTGCACCCATAACTAGCCTGCAATACACTGAATCACAGACTGGGATACCCACTATGGCAAATCCTGTAGAAAGCAATTAAATTATGTTTACCAGAATTGGGCTGTAAAAGGATATATTATTTTTAAAAATCGAACTACTGCATGTCATCCGTATATATCGAATCCACAATGTAAATCAAATGGATATTGTATGCATATCAAATTTATATTGCATGTATATCGAATCCACAATGTAAACCAAATTTATTTTGTGAATCCCAATTGAGCAGAAGGGCAATTTTTAAAACGGCACCGCATCCTGAGGTTGCAGATTTTCTGCCTCACATCAGACAGCAAGAACCACTTTCACAACTTGTCATTTAAGGTGACTTTACCTGTAATTCCAGCAGCCCCATCAATAGGACCTTCCCGGCATGGGTGACGTTCCCCAGGAGGTCCTCCCTTTTGATGACATTAATGACCTCTGCTAGCAGGAGATTCTTGGAAGGGTCCCCAAGCCATGTGTTAAATATCCGATATGGCTGCAGGGTGGAGAAACCAAAGGAGAGGAAAGAAGGGGGGGGGGGAACCAAGGAAGAATTAGTCTCTTTTGCTTTGACTTAGAACCATTCATTTTGCGATATGAAAAAGTGACTCATGACTGGTCCTCACACTTATGACCAGCACATCATTCCCACGATCACATATTAAAATTGGGGCGTTTGGACAACCGGCATGTACAGACAGTCCTCCACTTAATAACAGTTCATTTAGTGACTGTTCAAAGTTACGATGTCACTGAAAAAAGTGACTTATGACCGCTTTCCACACTTACGACCGTTGCAGCCTTCCCGTAGTCGTGTGATCAAAATTCAGATGCTTGGCAATTGATTCATATTTAGGACCGTTGCTATTTCCCAAGGTCAGGTGATCCCCTTTTATACACTTCTGACAAGCAAAGTCCATGGGGAAGCGAAATTCACTTAACAACCAGGTTACTAACTTATCAGCTACGGTGATTCACTTAACAACTATGTGGCAAGAAAGATTGTAAAATGATCCAAAACCTGCTGAACAAATGTCTGGCTCAATAAGAGAAATTTTGGGCTCAATTGTGGTTGTACGTCAAGGACTTCCGGTATTTATGATCCCAGAGTTATGTGACCGCCATTTGCCACTTTCCCAGCCAGCTTCCAACATGCAGAGTCAAAGTGGGAAACTGGAATAGAAATAGAAATAGAAAGGAATAGAATAGAGAATGGAATAAATAGAATAGAATAGAATAGAATAGAATAGAATAGAATAGAATAGAATAGAATAGAATAGAATAGAATCTTGGAATGGAATAGAAACTTGGAATGGAATAGAATAGAACAGAACAGAACATAATAGAATCTTGGAACAGAACAGAATAGAATAGAATCTTGGAATAGAATAGAATTTTGGAATGGAATAGAATCTTGGAATGGAATAGAAACTTGGAATGGAATAGAATAGAACAGAACAGAATCTTGGAATAGAACAGAACACAACAGAATAGAATACAATCTTGGAATAGAATAGAATCTCGGAATAGAACAGAATAGAATAGAATCTTGAAATAGAATAGAATAGAATAGAATAGAATAGAATAGAGCTGGAAGGGACCTTGGAGGTCTTCTAGTCCAGCCCCCTGCTCGAGCAAGAGAACCTATCCTATCTTAGACAAGTAACTGTCTGGTCTTTTCTTAAAAATCTCCAGTCATGAAGTGCCCACGACATCTGGTTAATTGTCCTCACTGTTAGGAAGTTTCTCCTTAATTCCAGGATTTGCTAAATGACTCTGTGATTTGTTTACCAATCTCAGCAAAAAGGTTCTAAAACTGGGTGGGACTTTCATACCAGCCACATTGCTTAGCAATGGAAGTCTCGGTTGCAATTGTGGTGGTAAGTCGGGGAGTGCCGGTATGGCACCATGATGACCACGCACATACTACAGCTTTCAAAATGGAACTTACCGCATTCGCCCGGAATTCATCCTTGTGGAAAAACCCTCCGGTCATCATCTTCTTGCTGAAAGTCAGGACGTCCGCTGGGTCCTCGAGACCCCAGTGTTCGTGGGCCCAGAACTTGCCAGTACATCCGCCTCCCGTTTGTACCTCGTCTATCAAGAAACCGCAGCCGTGCTGTTGAGAAAGCACACCTGAAGTCAGTCCCTTTAAGAAAGGGGCTGGGACCAATTTAAGGAGGAGGCAAAAATAACTCTGCTTGCTTGCTTAAAGGCAGGGGTCTCCAACCTTGGCAACTTTTAAGACTTGCGGACTTCAACTCCCAGAATTCCCCAACCTTGACAACTCGCTGAAGAATTCTGGGAATTGAAGTCCACAAGTCTTAAAGTTGCCAAGGTTGGAGACCCTCTCTTCAAGGAATACATCAGCAGATAATTTAAGAAGAGGCTAGACAGTCACTTATCTGAAATGGTATAGGTTCTCCTGCTTCAGCAAGGGGCTGGACTAGAAGATCTCCAAGGTCCCTTCCGGCTCTATTCTATTCTAATTGTCAGAGGTAGAGACCTCAAGGATCTGAAGAGTTCAGTTGCCCCACTGGTTTCACCTTAGGAAAGTCACTCCACACCTTCACTAAGCCTTGTTTTGTATTAATTTGTTTAAATTGGGCAGCAGGTTAATTAATTGAATTGAATTGAATGGCCAGTCATCTTAAACCAAACCCTGGGCAACTCGCAACTAAAAGTTAAGCCAGGCTTCTGCAAACAGAGAAGTCTTCCCGATTTCTGGATCTACAGAATTCTCCAGCCCGCAAAACCATGGTTGATTATTGGAAACCAGGAAATCACTCTGGGTGTGTAAAGTTGTGTTATGCCTCAATCTTTATTTTGCAAGTGACCATGTTTGGGGTGGTTCACTATGCAAGCTGAAACTGTGCAAGTCATGCTACAGTTCAGCATGGAGCGTGGAGCCAGACAGTTTGTTCTACCTGACATATAATAAAACACATTTTCTGTCAGATCCAGATCCCAGAGTCTAAAACAGGGGCCTTCAAACTTGGCAACTTTAAGACTTGTGGACTTCAATTCCCAGAATTCCTCAGCCAGCCAGGGCTGGCTGAGGAATTCTGGGAGTTGAAGTCCACAAGACTTAAAGTTGTCAAGTTTGAAGGCCCCTGGTCTAAAAGGCAACAATTGGAAATTAGTGGGAAAATATTTTCATCTCCCAAATCCATCCACTGCTCATCTGAACTTGTGCAATCTCACAGGAAAAAAAAGACCAAAAAAAAAGCCTTAAATAGCAGGCCCAGAAGGATCCTGTTGAATTTGAAATTACCAAAACATCTGGTTCTTGCTCCTCATGCCTAAATTAGAGATATTTTGTTTTCATACAGAATAGCACGGCGGAATGTAGTATATCTATAATTAGGCAGGTAGTTCCTTGAGTCTGGCAAGATTCTGTCTGCAGGCAAATAACAATAAAGGAACTCTTCAGAAGTAATTCCATGTGTCGTTCCTGACATCACCCTTGCCAGACTCAAACAACTATTTGTGTAACTATAGATCTACTCTGTAAGCTGCGAGACAGGTCTTAGCTGTCTTCCTGTCTACCAGACAGTCCAAGCTCTTTGCCCTCCCAGGAATCCAGTGTACATTCCATGACAATTGGAACTAAATCCAGATGTTCAATTTCATAGGACTCCTGTTGGGTTTCCCCAGATCAGCTTGGAAGCTGCTACTCGAACATTAGATAAACTTATTGCTCAGGAGACAAAACCTTTGCTTAGAGAATGGGCCATTTTATATCAAAGCTCACCTTTCTTGCGATGTTTCTCAATTTCCTAAAAAAGTCATCTGATGCGTGATTGTCACCCCCTTCGGACTGAATGGGTTCCACAATAATTCCCGCAACCACTTTATTCTTTTTCCTGTATTTAACAATCAAATCTTCCACCTGCATGTTAGAACATAGCAAGATTTTTTTTTTAAAGGAAGAAATCCCTAATAGGCATTTTATCTTGTTCGATTTCATTGCGGACAATTTATTAAATTTCAGGGAGCAATCAAGAAGGATTGGTGATGTTTTTGCACCATTGAACAACCTTCTTCAAAAAAGAAACCTCCAGATGAATTAAATCTTTTCCATTTGGGCTGGCAATTATGGGAGTTGGGATCCCACCCACCTGGAAGGGATCTCAGGCTAGAGAATGATGACCCATGGGCCAATTTGTTAATAAAAGAATCCCATTGAAGAGACCTGCTGCTTAAACGTAATGACAAAGAGTACATGAAATAAATTAAACAAATTAAGAAGAAATGCAATTGATGTTAATAAAGAGCAAACACGTGATTATGAGTAGTGTTTTATCCAAAGCAACTGCTCCAGAAAAAACAGTCCTAACTGAGAAATACCCATTTTTTGGTAGATCTCCCCCAAATTTTAATCTGACCGATTCATTCCTTCTTTGGCCTTCTTTAAAAGAGTATTAACTGTGGTGCATTTTGAAAAGGTGATCTTCAGCTTGAGTTCCAGCTTCCAATCCAATGGGAGAATCTCCCCAGTCTCCACACAGCTCTGAAAAATCAAGTCCTACTTGGAGGACTCAAATCCCTCAAAAACCAAGGCTAACCTGGAGAATTAGGACACCACATCAACTGGCCTTTCAACAGCTGCAAAGTGTTTATGGTGTTTCTGTAACCTTGTTTTCCATTCTCTGCTAAGCTTCCTATGCTACTCTGCTAAGTTTTGCCCTAAACCCAAACCACATCAAAATCAAGAAGGTCCATAATCTAGTTTCTCTAATTTAGCCTCTGCAAGAAGGTGGCTTCTTACAGTGGTCTGTGATGTCCATTTTAATGCACTCAAAACTAAACTTAGCTTAGCATGGTTGGTGAACCCAATCACTGCCTCCAATTGGCAGGGCCTGTAGTAGTTGCATCTGGAATCCTGAAGGGCTTCAGAGCAGATGTCCATGATGCATCTAGAATTTAGAAGACTAAACCTCTGGTTCCAGTGACCGACCCAGATTGGATCTTACAACATTATCCTGGGACACATATATTTGCTTTCATTCGTGAAGCTGATTAAAATTAACTTGGTTTGCTCAGGGGCTGCATGTCTATGGGATGAACACTTTATGATGAGCACCCTTCGAATGGTGCAGGAGTACAAACGGATTTCCAGAAAACATTGCAGATTACAAGAACCATTTGCGCTTCAGTTTGAGATGCAGACCACACAGACTCATCCCCAACAGCCTGCGCCTGTCTTCAACAGTGAAGGGACCCAGAGCAGAAAACATCCAGCAGCCAAGAAGGCTCCACACCCATTTGCACTACTCAAGGGACCCTGGAAACACAGATAAACCTCCAAGTGGCCTCAATGATTCTCTAAAACAGACATGTCAAACACAAGGCCTGGGGTCCGGATGCGGCCCGCGAAGTGGTTTCATGTGGCCCGCGAAGCCATCCCGAAAACAGTGAGGGAACGGCCCCCGCTGCCTTGGCCCTGGCCCAGGCCAGCCAGGAGCCAATGTAGAATTTTGTGGTGGCCATCTTGGCACTTGCCCCGGTGGACTATGCCTTGGCACTTGCCCCAGTCCCACCCCCTTCTGCCAGACACCCTCAGATCTGTCCCACTCCTGCCCAGGTCCCCATAGGCACCTTGACGCGAATGATGTAGAACTGGCCACACTCACTCTGTCCATGCCCACCCAGTAGGCTGCACCCACTCTGACCACACCCACCCACCCCCTCCCAGGGCAACCGCAATGCTGATGCGGCCCTCAGTGAAATTGAGTTTGACACCCCTGCTCTAAAAGGATGCAAACGACCAGCTGTCTGCAAGGAATATAAATGCTTCCATTCCCCACCATCCAGTCAGAGGTGAAGAAGCTTCTTGGATGGGAAGCAAAACGTCTTCAAAGAAAAAACAAGAAAGTCCAGTTGCCTCCTGAAAAAAAACCTTTGGGACGCTCAGGGCTCAACTAAGTCAGGAGGAAGATGTTTTGCGAGCCTCATTCTCTCTTCCAGGAAAGACAAAGGCTGACTGTCCCTGGCGGTCCTCGTCCTCCATCTTCTGCTTGATCTTTCTGTGCTGGGTTAATCGAGCAAAACAAACGCGCTTTCCCTGAGCCCAACCTTCTGCACTCTGGAGCTGGGCTGTCCTCACCTCCTCTAAGCAGCGTGCTTCCTCCTGCTGGTTTTCTCGCACAAAGTCTTCCAAGGGGTACTGCAGCCTTGGGAAGGGAGCGATGGGCCAGTCAAAAGACGGGATGTCCAGCTTGTGAATGGCCTTGGAGTGCGTCGTGGCCAAGCAGCCTAAACAATGGAAGAACATTTTTAGAACGTTTAGAGTGCTTTTCTTAAAAACACCAGAGGTTTTTAAGAAGAGACTGGACAGTCACTTGTCTAAAATGACTCTAGGCCAGGGGTAGGCCACCTTGGCTCTTTTATGACTCGTGGACTTCAACTCCCAGAATTCCTGAGCCAGCATGGCTTAGCTTAGAAACTTCTCCCTTTCCCCTCAGCATGGCTGGCTCAGGAATTCTGGGAGTTGAAGTCCACGAGTCATCAAAGAGCCAAGGTTGCCTATATCTGGGCTAAGGCAAAGGTGGGAAACGATGGCCCTTTTGTGACTCGTGGACTTCAACTCCCAGAATTCCTGAGCCAGCATGGCTCAGCTTGGAAACCTCTCCCTTTCCCCTCAGCATGGCTGGCTCAGGAATTCTGGGAGTTGAAGTCCACGAGTCATAAAAGAGCCAAGGTTGCCTATCCCTGCTCTAGGGCCTCCTCAGTGGTGGGATTCAAATACAGGAACAACTGGTTCTCTGTGTGGATGCCGCTTCCGGAAGTCCATTCTGGGCCTCGGCAACAAAAAATTAGCTACAGTTCTGCTGAACTGGTGCAAACCAGCTGAATCCCACAAGTGGATCTTCTGCTGGAGCAGGAGGTTGGATAGAAGATCTCCAAGGTCCCTTCCAGCTCTATTCTGATCGAAAACCATGAAAACCAGACAAAGCCTTCAAAGATAGTGCCTCCTCCTGGCCAGATAATATCCTGCAGAAAAATGCTTGCTCAGGTTGTGGGAAGTTGCTTTCACTCAAATCAAATCCTACTTTTAATAGTTGGATGACTGAAGCTGCGATCTATCTCCCTTCTGCGCAAAATTTCTTTGGTAGACTTCTGTCTGTATGTTAATTATCCCCAGTACCTGTAACACAGCATCATGGATCATCTAAATCAGGGGTGTCAAACTACTGGCCCGCGGGCTGGATGCGTCATGGCGAAACCGCACCCACCCCTTTGGTGGCAATGGAAAAAAAGTTGCGATACGTCACGACACGTCACGTGACGTTGCAAGTTTGACACCCCTGATCTAAATCAGTGGTTCTCAACCTTTTTAATGCCGCGACCCCAACTGGTCGTAAGTCGAGGACTAAACCGGTTGTAAGTCGAGGACTAAACCGGTCGTAAGTCGAGGACTACCCAACCGGTCGTAAGTCGAGGACTTTCCCTGCCCGGGAGCGCCGCGCATGCGTGGTTCCGCCCCCTGCGCCGGCCGAGGCGTAGCAGGCAAGCGGCAGAGACGGAGCAGGCCGACCACCAGCTGGCCCAGCACAAGGGAGGTAAGGCACCCGCTGGAAAAGGGGAAAAAAATGGCGGACAAAAAAAATGGCGGACAAAAAAAATGGTGGACAGCCTTGCTTGGCGACCCCCGTGAAATGGTCGATCGACCCCAAATGGGGTCCCGACCCACAGGTTGAGAACCACTAATCTAAATGGTGCTGAGCTAAGGATGGAAGCTCTTGAAAGATTAGGCTTTATTTGACGCCAATCTGATGGCCTGTAATCCATCAAGCCATCTCACTGATCTTTGCATATCATGCTATTCTCAACCAAAACCAGTAACTCTTCCTTACCCATGGTTCTTCCGTGAAATGCACCCATGAAGGAAAGCATACTGTATTCTGGGCAACCTGGGGGCTGAAAGGCAAAGAGGAAATTTATGCTTATTAATTAGTTAATTAACATTTCAATTTAGCCACTAGGTAATAGCCTCTTCCCCACTTCAATGCTAGCTGGAATGACCAACTGAATGATAGCAGGGTGGAGGATAACTTATTTTATTTTTCCAATTCTGCTGTGTTATTAGGAGAAAGCCTTCCTCTATTATGAATATTAATTCAGAGGGCTGGCTTTCAAACCCAAGCAAATCAGATTTTAAAAACCAAAAAAAGTTATCCATCCATCAAGATGCAGTCTTATTTTTTTCTCTCTTCTTGAAGTGTTATCCTCACAGACACCATCTTGTGTTAGGCTAGTTGGGTTACTGGTCCAAAGTCTCCAGAGGACTTTATGGCTGAGCAAAAGATGAGGCATAGACCTCCCTAGTCCTAGGTTGACCTTGATCATTAGCCCTTTTGATGCCACCAGCCAAGAAAAACCAAATATGCAGGGACAGATTAGGTGAAACTTGGCTCAATAGCAGTAACTGTGAGACGGATCTTGGAATCCTAGTGGACAACCGCTTAAATATGAGCCAACATTGTACGGCAGCAGCCAGAAAAGCCAATGCAATCCTAGGCTGCATCAACAGAGGGAAAGAATCAACATCCCGCAATGTTCTAGTATCGCTCTACAAAGCCTTGGTAAGACCACACTTGGAATATTGCATCCAGTTTTGGTCACCCCAATATAAAAAGGATGTTGAGACTCTAGAAAAAGTAAGAAGAGAAGAGTGATAAAGCTCTTTAGGGGGCTGGAGAAATTGGTTTTGTCTACTCTAGTGAAAAGAAGGACTAGGGGTGACAGGATAGCAGTGTTCCAGCATTTGAAGGGCTGCCACAAAGAAGAGGGGGTCAACCTATTTTCCAAAGCTCCTGAAATTAAGAAAAGAAACAATGGATGGAAACTAATCAAGAAGAGAAGCAACATAGAATTAAGGAGACACTTCCTAATGGTGAGAACAATAAACCAATGGAACGGCTTGCCTCCAGAAGGTGCTCCATCACTGGAGGTTTTTAAGAAGAGATTGGACAACTATTTGTCTGAAATATTATAGGGTCTTCAGTCCATGATGGTGCACTGGCTAGAATGCAGTATTGCAGAGAAACTCTGCCCGCAGCAAGGAGTTTGATCCTGACTGGCTCAGGGTTGACTCAGCCTTCCATCCTTCCAAGGTCAGTAAAATGAAGACCCAGATTGTGGGGGGCAACAGGCTGACTCTGTAAACCACTCAAGAGAGGGCTGTAAAAGCACAGTGGAGCAGTACACAAGTCTAAATGCTATTGCTATTTGTAAAACACTGTGGGGGGAAATGGGCATTACTTGCATAAGCAACGAAACACCGAGTGGCAGTATTTACTATCATTTTGCAAAACTGATTATGAAACGGACTACATCAGATTCTATGATGAAACTGAGTTGTGAAAGAGATTAGAGAATGAACAAAGTCCCAAGAGAATGATGTAAGGAAAGGGTTTGTTGGATTAAAAAAGGGTTCATTTTTAACATAAGTGATATCCAATCCACAGGAATGTAGGAGTGAGGGTTGGAATACAGACATGTTTATAGTTGGAAAATTAAGAGTAAAAACAACAAAACCTGCCAAGCATTGTGCTAACTACTGCTCAGTACCCGTTGCCCTTTTAGCTTCCAGTTCTCTGTCATTGCAAAGCATGTGCCCACTTTCTAACTTCAGTACAGGGAGTCCCCAACTTATGACCACAATCGAGCCCAAAATGTATGTTGCTAAGTGAGAAATTTGTGAGTTTTGCCCCATTTTACGACTTTTCTTGCCACATTTGTTAAGTGAATCCCTGCGGTTGTTAAATTAGCAACACGGTTGTTAAGTGAATCTGATTTCCCCGTTGACTTTGCTGGTCAGAAGGTCCCAAAGGGGGAATCACGTGACCCCAGGGGGACACTGCGACCATCATAAATATGAATCAGTTGCCAAGCATCCGAATGTAAATCACATGGCCGTGGAGATGCTGCAAAGGTCAAAAGTGTGAAAGATGGTCCCAAGTCACTTTTTTCCCAGTGCCATTGTAACTTCGAGCAGTCACTAAGTGAGCTCTTGTTTAAGTCGAGGACTACCTGTAGGTCTTATGCTGTCTTGCTGGGCAGGTGGACACTGAAGCAAAGATCAAGAATGTAGATTTGGCCTGGCTTTTTGCTCTGCTGAATGAAGGAATGGACCTTACCTGGTTAATCATGCAGGTCTCCAACTCTTCTTTGGTAACACTGTTGTCGCCTCGTTCTTTGTTCTGGAAAAGAAAGAAGTTTCCCATCATCTTCCCAGCCAAGAGTTGCCCTTCAACCCATCTGCACGGACATCATTTGGGGACGATAACCGTATATCAATGGCTATGGCATTCAAGAGTCTCCCAATGGCAATATCCCGAGAGGAACAGGAACTAGAGGAAAACGAGGGATACTCAGCTCCATCCCAGAAGTTCATCACAGCTGACAGGTTTACATAGTTTAAATACTTAATACATCTGAGAAGACCTGGACTGGGTTCTCCTCCTTGATCTGCTTCTAGGAGACGATCATTCTCCAGGATTACTGGAGATGGGAAGCATGACTAAAAAGGAGCTTCCAAGGCTGAAAAAGCCAGACCATCTCAACCATCCCCTCTTGGGATTTTATGACTATTCTCCACTGGGCAGCAATTCTGAAGGCTTCTTCTATGACCTTCTAATTTCTCTGAAATGAGAGCCTTTTAATTCTGGAATGGAGACATTTCCTTTCTTTTGGGGGCCCTCGTCCCACAGAATCTATTGAGGGTCCATGGCTGAGAATGGGCAATCTAATCCTAAAGTGGCGGAACCCTAAATGAGGATTAGTAATAGGGTTCCAATTCAGAGATGGGGAGGGGGATTAGAATCCCCTCCAGGTTTCTGCATCTTCCTTTTCTTTGTCTGCTCAGCAGATCAGTCAAGCAGATCAACTCAACAAACTGATTGTTGATAAAAGGGTTAGGTGCTGACTTACTGTCAGGCACAAAGGATCAGGACCATACATTAAGTTGAAGCACAGAAGATTTAGTTAAGCCTATGCATAAGAATCTAATGGTCAGCACTAAATAGGTGCTAGATAAGGGTCAAAGAAATCTGGGGGGGGGGGGAGAGACTTGATCATTTGCGGCAACTTAAGGATTCTAAGCTTATGAAATGTTTAACTCCACCCTCCAGCTCTGCCTGCTCTTCTCCTACATCTACAAATTTGAGACCCCCTTCGCCCCCTATCCCACTTTGAGCAGACAGCCCTCCCTGTTTTCCTGAGCATCTGGAGAGCGTCTGTACAAGGCAGAGCATTCATATCATAGCTTTTACTCACCCTGTACCACATAAATATGGTTTTAAAGGCATTTTCATTGGAGCAAGATCCACAGGACATGGTTATGACTTGAGAGAGACCTTTAGGAGCAACCTGGCAGTGGAGAAGAGACACGGACCTTTCAATCCAAAGTTTGTAAGGAATACTTTCATCATAACTGAGCATCACAACAAAATGATGCTTATTTTAACACACACACCCCAATTTTTTAAAACTAGTCTCTATTGCCTAAGGATAAAATTATGGAAACTTAGGGCTGGAAGTGCCATTTAGCCCATGGACTGCAACTAGCCACCCAAGGCAAGAATTCAAAATAAAGACTCTTCAACCGAATAGAATAGAATAGAATAGAATAGAATAGAATAGAATAGAATAGAATAGAATAGAATAGAATAGAATAGAATAGAATAGAATAGAATAGAAGACAGGATGTAGGAATAGAATAGAATAGAATAGAATAGAATAGAATAGAATAGAATAGAATAGAATAGAATAGAAGACAGGATGTAGGAATAGAATAGAATAGAATAGAATAGAATAGAAGACAGGATGTAGGAATAGAATAGAATAGAATAGAATAGAATAGAATAGAATAGAATAGAATAGAATAGAGCTGGAAGGTCTTCTAGTCCAGCCCCCTGCTGAAGCAGGAGAACCTATACCATCTCAGACAAGTGACTGTCTAGTCTCTTCTTAAAAATCTCCAGTGATGGAGCACCCACGATTTCTGAAGGCAAGCTGTTCCACTGGTTAATTGTCCTCACTATCAGGAAGTTTCTCCTTAATTCCAGGTTGCTTCTCTCTTTAATCAGTTTCCGACCATTGTTTCTTGTCCTGCCTTCAGGTGCTTTGGAGAATAATTTGACCCCCTCTTCTCTGTGGTAGCCTCTCAAATACTGGAACGCTGCTATCATGTCACCCCTGTTTCTTCTTTTCTTTAGACTAACCCAAGTCCTGCAGCCGTTCTTCGTATGTTTTAGTCTCCAGTTGACTGACATCAACTGATGTCAATCCAACGTCTCTTTGATCCTGAGAACAACAGTCCATCATCTCAAAGGTCATTGTTGAAGTCTCTCATCCTTAAGAAACTTTTCTTATTCTAAAACTTAATCCATTATCCCATATCCTGCAATCTGAGATAATAGAGAACTCATAATGATCTTCTTCTGTGTGGCATCTTTTCAGGTCTTTGAAAGAGGGCTATCATTCCCCTGTCCCCATTGTCCTTTTTAAATACTAGCCTCTCCTTGTAGTTGCCAGTTGTGGAATTATTGGCAAGACGGAGACCTGCCAGTGTTGGATGTCAGTTTCATTGCTCCTTCGGTGCTAGATAAAACTTACCGAAAGCAAAGATTCCTTTAGCTTTTCAGCAAAATTTTCTGGAGGCAAAATTCCTAGGGCAGGTCTGTTGACAAAAGTACTCTGAGAAAAAAGAAAAAAGAAAAGAAAAGGACATTATCATAAAGGGAATACAAACTTGTTATCTAAGAGTCAACCCAAAACAGTGCATGGCTTGACCTTGATTGCCTTAAAACAAATAACACCCCCAATTTGGACACTTGCATCCACCCTTCCCCCAAACTTGTAAGCCAACCAAGCTGTTTCTGGTATCAGAATTTAAGCTGGAGTGGAAAGCATTTGGGAGAATCTGCCAATGGGAAATGCTACTGATTACTGAGATGTCTTGGTATCCTCTAGATTTTGAACAGATTTCTTTGTGCTCTCTAGATCAGGGGTCCCCAACGTTGGCAACTTTAAGATTTGTGGACTTCAACTCCCAGAATTCCCCAGCCAGCCTAGTTGGCTGGGGAATTCTGGGAGTTGAAGTCCACAAATCTTCAAGTTGCTAACATTGGGGACCCCTGCTCTAGATCAGTGTTTCTCGACCTTGGCAGCTTGGAGATATGTGGACTTCAACTCCCAGATTCCCCAGCCAGTCAAAGCTGAGAAGCACTGCTCTAAAACATTGCTTAGGTTTAACTTATGTCTAAAAATCTAAGCAAATGACCAGTTTTTGCTGGGCCAGGGGTAGGCAACCTTGGCTCTTTTACGACTCGTGGACTTCAACTCCCAGAATTCCTGAGCCAGCATGGCTCAGCTTGGAAACCTTTCCCTTTCCCCTCAGCGTGGCTGGCTCAGGAATTCTGGGAGTTGAAGTCCATGAGTCATAAAAGAGCCAAGGTTGCCTACCCCTGTGCTGGGCCTTCAAAAGTATTCCTTGCCTCATTGGTCGAGAAAGATCCATCTTGCCATGGACAACTAGAGAAGCTTATAAGAGGTCCAAGCCCTCTTTGATACACGTATGAGACATTCACATAACATGCTGAAACCATTCAGGTTAAAAACATACAGTTTCTGTGTCCAGAGGGCATGTTGTTTGGCTCACATTACATGCCAGACCAGCACTTGGGGTTCCCCAAACATTGAACTACAAGCTACTAACCCCTTTTTAGCCTAGTCTAGCATGCTGCGAGCATCCTCCTTCCATTTCTGATGCCTTGTGGGAAGCTTTGTCCTACTACACATACATTAGCTTTGCAGTGAAGAGGAGTTGTGATTACACAGAGAATTTGAACGATGATGGAGATTAGCAGCCTCAGCAAATCTTGGGGTAACTCTTCAAACTTGTTCTTTCTCTCCCCTGGTCGGCTGCCTCCCAAAAGAGGCCTGAGGTGATAACCAACCCAGACCCAATCAGGACATGAGTTCCTTTGGGCTCTCTTTGCTCGAGACAATTAAAATGGTCCATGCTAGCTCCTGTAATTCTCAGCCATTCCCCTGGAAATGGCTTATTTTGAAGACTCACCCCCAAGCAGTTGGGGAGGCTCCTGGTTCCAGCCTCAGAGACCCTGAGCAGTGGGTAAGCAGCCCTGGGAAAGGACAGGTGGCATCTTGAGGAGAAGAAGGGAAGCTTCACAAACAGGCAATTTATGCACCGTTTTGGCAATCTGGTACCTTATGCAAAAAGTCACTTACCAGATTCTGGGGCTGCTGCAAAACTTTGATCAGAGATGGGTGGCTGTAGCCTAGAACGAAACACAGGGACCTTTATCATCTGCTTTTAAGACATTTCAGACACTTTCAAATTAAATTGTCCCAAAGATGCTTTTTTTTTTTTTTTTTAAAAAAGGCAACTGGATTTTGCTTTTTCTTGAAGTCGTTTCGCTTCTCATCCAAGAAGCTTCTTCAGTTCTAACTGAATGGTGGAGAATGGAAGGATTTATATTCCTTGAAGTCATCTGGTCATTAGTACTCTTTCTGAGAGTGGTTGAGGACACTTAGAGTTGTCTGTGCCCTCAGGGTCACCTGAATAGTGCAAATGGGTGTGGAACTTTCTTGGAACTACTGCAAGAGCTGTGTTGTAAACAGGAGACAGGTGGTGTCGTATTCCCTCCCCCTCTGTTGAGAGAGGGGGGTTCAGTTTTAATGTAGATGGCCTCTTTGATCCCTCTTTCAAACCAATGATCCTCTCTATCCACTGTCCTCAAAGGAGCGACCTTTGTCTTGCAAATGCACATTTCAAATTAAATACCGGTAACCTATTTAAAGCACTGCTAAGAAGCAGACTCAGCCCCTTCTGAATTTGCTTTGTTTTATGAATGTAAGGAAAGAGAAGTGGAAAAAATATTTGGAACTCTGATTTTATATATGGTGACGGCAGCAAGATTGCTCTAGGGCACAAAAGTGGAAGGGCGCCTCGATTCCCACCACGGGCGAAGGGTTACAAAAGCTGATGGAATGAGCAGAGATGGCCAAATTGACTGTGCTGATAAAAGAAAACAACACAAGTTCTTTTGTTTCTAGTTGGAAACCACTTCTGGACTTTGTGCTTGAGGTGGGAAAAAAATGATATCATGATTTTGGGTTTTACCGATTAGACTGATTTGCCGATACAGAAATGGCTAGTGCAGGGGTAGGCAACCTTGGCTCTTTTATGACTCGTGGACTTCAACTCCCAGAATTCCTGAGCCAGCTGGCTCAGGAATTCTGGGAGTTGAAGTCCACGAGTCATAAAAGAGCCAAGGTTGCCTACCCCTGGGCTAGTGCACACGACTATAGAAATGTAAAAAGTTGAGATTTGATTTTAATGTCTGATTTTACTGCAACAGAGAGAGTTGGAAGTCAATGCCTTTTGTTTCTCTCCCTCCCTTTCTTCACACCTTTTTTGTTTTTCCCTTTTTCTGCTGTTATTTGCTTTTGTATTTTCACATTTTATATATAAACAAATAAAACTAATTAAAAAGAAAGAATGTAAACGAAATAAGGAGGATCTTCACTACCTAGGATGCATTTGGCTTTATAGCCTAACAAAAGCTTTAGCAGGTGATACCACTTGGCTATCTAAGCAAGATCAGTTCTGGTTAAGAGGAGTCCAACAGTCACCTTGAAAGAAGGCCATACAGGAGGTCCTTGACTAGAGCCCTATTTTATGACCTTTTGGGATACGGTTGGTAAGCGGAACTGCAATTTTTAAGTGACACATGATTAAGTGAATTCGAGTTCCCCTGTTGAATTTATTGGTCAGAAGCCAGCTGGAAATGTTGTAAAGGACGATCATATGATCCCAGATGCTGTAAATATATGCTGGTTGCTAAGCGCCCACATTTTGATCACGTATCCGTGGAGATACTGCAATGGTCCTAAGAGCGAGGACCAGTCATGAGTTAATTTTTCAGTGCCGTTGTAGCTTTGAATGATCATCATATAAATAAATGGTCATAACTTGGGGACTATCTGTAGTTATTTGATTTCTATCCTGCTGCTCTATCCACTGTCCTTTTTCTTCTGAGATGTCTGAATGTATTGAACATGATGTCAAATCACTGCACTGTGGCAAAACAATAGCAATAGCAGCAGCACTTAGACTTATATAATGCCTCACAGTGTTTTATAGCCTTCTCTAAGTGGTTTAAAGAGTCAGCATATGAGCCCCCAACAATCTGGGTCCTCATTTTATGATCTCGGAAAGATGGAAGGCTGAGTGAACCTTGAGCCAGTCAGGATCGAACTTTCTGGCAGTGGTCAGAGTCAGCCTGCAATACTGCATTCCATCCACTGCCCATCATGGCAATAGAATAGAATAGAATAGCAATAAAACTTATATACCGCTTCACAGTGCTTTACAGCCCTCTCTAAGTGGTTTACAGAGTCAGCCTATTGCCCCCAACAATCCGGGTCCTCATTTTACTGACTTCGGAAGGATGGAAGGCTGAGTCAACCTGGAGCCGGTCAGGATCGAACTCCTGGCTGTGGGCAGAGTCAACCTGCAATGTTGCATTCTAAGCACTGCACCACCAGGGCTCTTCGGTTCTGTAAAGTCGAATTTGCAGCAGGACTGAAGTATGATGTGCTCTAATATTTTTCTTGAGTGGCAGGTCAATGGTAGCTGAAAAGGACACCTGGCACCCTTCCAGAACTATCCTCTCCTTAGAAGAGATAAAAAATAAAACTACCTAAAATTGAAAACTTACTCGTAAAAATCTGGTAGATTCAAAATCACCCCATTTACTGTAGCTTCCCCTGCATCGCCTCCTTTTTCCAGGAGCTCAGATTCAGCTTTTCCCCTTAGAACCAGGAACTCCAAACCTGGCAACTTTAAGACTTTTTGGCGCCATCGTAACTTCGAACAGTCACTAAACGGATGGCTTTAAAATCAAGGACTACCTGTCCCCTTTTCCTGCCTGTGCTTCCAACTTGCCACACGCATCGTTGGTGGGGGCTCTTGATGCTGAAAAGGAGAGGTTTGAGCTCATGGTTGCCCACGGTTGCTCCAGCTGAGATCTGAACTCTTGCAAAGACTCAAAAAGAATTCTTACCAATCGGGATGGATGAAATCTGAGAGTAGAGATCTAACATCCGGTTCCCATCGACATCCACGAGATAATTTCCTCGGCTTTCTTCGTAGTTGCAGAAAAAGTGGACCGCTTCTGCGTTCTGAGAGAAACAGACGAAAGAAGCTGAGATTTCCTGACCCCGACGAAGCAGTTGAGAATCAAACCAAATGAGCCACGATTTAGGCCGAACACGAAGGAAAATAGGAAACTCTGGATGGTTTCCCATTTCTGTAAATCATTTTTTATACCTCTATAGACATGCTTGTCTTGGAAAGGTAAGGGAATTCTGATGGTTTGGGGATTAAAAAGGGGGAAACAGTCTAGGGAAAACTTTTACGATAACAGCTACTCAACAGAAAGAATGTCTCTGCTTTCTGTTTTTTCAAGTTCTCTCTTGTTTTTCTGTGTCTTAGTTTTTATCGTGGTTTTTATTTGCTTTGTATATTTTATTATAATGAAAAATTATACAGGAAAGGTAAGGGGATTCCAGGTTTGTCTTATTGTTATGTGAGCCTCATTTGCAGAATTTTTTAAAGAGGTCTGAACAAAGCAGCCTTTTCACTTTTGAAGTCCTCTTGAGTTCCTCCCATGATTTCTTCAGTCTTTGCTGAAGGGAGAAAAACCCACTAAGGAGAGACACCTAGTAACATTTTGCCTTTTCACCAACAGTGTTGGGAAGAGCCCAGTTTACAGGAAAAAAAAGGCTATGTTAGAACAAAGCAATTGGAAAGGAGTCCCAGAAGAAGAACTTTCTGGTCACACAATTGAGTGTGCAATTAGAGCATCCCATTTTTGTTCTGTTCAGTTTCAGGAGAGTGTCCTTGCTGTTACAAAACAGGCATACACATAAGTCGATAGGCAGTCTGCCATTCATGCAATTTTGCGACTCGGCGGCCGATATTTGAAGGGTAGAAGACCTGGGATCGTTTTCAAGTGGAATTTGGAGAAATTACCTGAATTCTGTTCAACTGTTTCATTAGTTCCTAAAAGAAGAAGAAGAAAAGAAAAGATATGATACAGATCGAGCAGTCAAAAACTCAGGAGATGTTAATGTTCCTGCGCTAAAGACAGAAGATTCACCTCCAGCTTGGGTTAAGAAAGATGCCCGTGAAACTTGGCAGAGTGGCCACAAGAGTCCAGTCACTGAATTTCTGGAAAAGCCTTCAGGCCCCAGGTGTGCATTGCACCAAACAGAGAAGGGATCATGATGGTGTCTGCATGGGCAGCTTTGTTCTTTCAAATGAAATGGAGAAGTGGCAGCTCCAGAGGAAACCCAAGATCCTAATTTTCTTAGACCTCCCAGTTGCAAAAGTCCAACCTATTTCCTATTTGAACCTGGGTTCATTTTCTGAGGCCACCTGGGTGAAATCTGGAGCTGTTTGTGAGTCTTTGGGGGCTGCCATTCAATTACAGCTTTCACTTTGGTCGGGTCCATTTCAATGCCCTCGCTGGAAATTCTGTAGCCAAGACAATCCAGTCGGGTCTGGTGAAACTCATACTTTGATAGCTTAACATAAAGTTTGGCGTTCAACAGTTTCTTTAGCACTTCTCTCACTAGTTTTACGTGGTCAGCCATATTCGTGCTGTATATCAGGATGTCATCAAGGTACACCAAAACCCCTTTGTATAAATGGTTCATTCATTCATTCATTCATTCATTCATTCATTCATTCATTCATTCTGTCAAAGCAAGAACATCAACCAACTGATATAGACGCCCAGCCGAAATATTATGACATTTGGGCTTTATTCTCAAGTTTTGTCTGAGGTTGCGCTTAGGCTTACTGGCATCTCTGAAATCTAAAATTGCATTCACACATGATATTAAGTTAGCATTTTTTAAATAAGTCCTGCTTGTGTGATTCACACATAATGCTCTTCTGTAATAGCTGGGGCTGTGTGTCCCATTAATCCAAAGGCCCAATACAGCTTAGTTAAGTGTTTCTCAACCTTGATCACTTTAAGATGTCTGGACTTCAACTCCCAGAATTCCCCAGCCAGCACAGCATATATTATAGAGCAGGGGTCCTCAACCTTGGCAACTTTAAAACATGTGGACTTCAACTCCCATCGTGGTGACCAAAACTGGATGCAGTATTCCTAGTGTGGCCTTACCACGGCATTGTAAAGTGGTATTAACACTTCACATGATCTTGATTCTCTCCCTCTGTTAATGCAGCCTAGCACTGTGTTGGCATTTTTGCTTGTATCCATCTTGACTTTTTTTATCGTCCCCATCTTGACTTACCCTGGATCTTGGCCCAGGGACTTCGGTCTTCATCAGTGGCCCATCATAGCCAAATTCCATGTCAATTTTAGCTGCCACTTGGCTGATTCCTCGGAATCCTACAAAAAACAAAAACGAATTAAAGAAGTGACTCTAGGAAGTATATTCAACAAGGGACATCCATATGTATATGGAGAGTACAGCATTGCAAGGTATATATTTGATGAATAGTATACAAATATAACTTCAGATATTACCAAATCCCTCCAAACTAGTTGTTTCAAAATGCTTCTGATATTTAAGACATGACTACAATTTGAAGCCCAATTTGTTCTCTTTTTTTCCAAATAATTTTATGAAGAATTATATGTGAAAATAAAGGCTAATACAGGCTACACAAATAAGAAAAATACAAAAGAAAACAAAGAAAAAAGAAAAAGAAAAGAGAAAAATTAAAAAAAGAAGTAATTTCTCCATTAATCCCAGGAAGTATAAACTATTTTAGTATTTTAATATCATTTCTAAATATAAAATAGTCTCTCTTCTCCCCAAAACTCATCTCTTGTCTAAAAAACCGTCCAAATGCTTTATCAATCATTTTTGTTAGCAAAAGTTTAGTGAGGGCAACCAGATATAACTATTTTCTTTGCTTAGCCCTGATAGAATAAGCCAACCTTGTATTCTTTTCCTGAGTTTTCAAAAATATTCTTTAATCCTCTCAAAAAGAGTCCCAGACCTAATTTTCTGTTCATCTGTTTCAATGTAAAAATCTTTCAACTCTTTAACAGATTTTTTTTGCAAATCCAGTAAGTTTATCCTTTGGCTTGTGACTTCTAATAAAATCCTTCAAAACCTTAACAAAGCTCTTTTGTATATTCAGTAAAAAAAATAATAATAAACCAATCAGTTTCTTGGTTGAGTATCTGTACACCTTCTTAAGTCAGCCATCAGTTCCATTTGTGTTACATTTCAGAGTTATTTCATAAACATCCGTTGCAACTTGTTCTTTTTTTTTTTTTTTAACTTTGTTGCAACATGCTGTGTAGGAAGTCAGGAAGTTTACCCATTCTAACAAGAAGCTTAGTTTAAAAAAATTGAAAAAAAATTGTATTAAAGATTTCTGCTCTGCTTACTTTATCATCTAGCTTGTTCTTCTTCATCCAAGATCTCCTTGTCGCAAAAGTACCAAAACAATTGTCACTTTCCCATGAGAAGATTTCTTCTAATTAAGTCAAAGCTGTAAATTCTAAATCCTGCTGGTCCTTTAATCCAGAGGTCTTCAAACTTGGCCCTTTTATGACTTGTGGACTTCAACTCCCAGAATTCCTCAGCCAGGCACGCTGGCTGAGGAATTCTGGGAGTTGAAGTCCACAAGTCATAAAAGGGCCAAGTTTGAAGACCCCTGCCTTAATCTGTTAACTTTCCAAAGTCGATATATACTCAGCACGACTTGGCTGCACAGTCCAAAGAAATAATGTATTTTCAATAGCCCAAAGATGCTTTTTCATGAGGCAACTGGACAAGAAAGCCTCCTTGGGATAACTATGACCTGGATGGCTGAGAATCTCCATAGACAGATATTTTCAGTACTTTTAAGATCAAATTTATACCATCATCCTCTATTAGCAGAAGACTCACATGATTAATATAGTAAGACTCTTGCTAGTCAAAAGAGTTTTAATCATTTCAAAATGCAAATAATAATAATCCAAAAGACTGATCAAGAAATGAGCCATTGTTGAGCTTAATGTCCATAAAAGTCTGCTTTGTGAATGCAAACTTGATGAAATTACCAATTCCCAGCCATTCCATCCCTAAGCTGACTGCAAAATGATGGTTTCTGTGGTCTACTCCTGAGGAGCAGCCATCCAGAGTCACAAGGACAATCTCAATCATCTCTCCAGATCCCGCATCCAATTACTATACTACCTGCAAACAGTGTCCTGCTGGCCAATGGTGCTCCTAGGAAGGCCCCAAATCCATTTTGTTCCCAAAGCAAAATGGTGCTTAATGAGCGTGGCACTCCAACCAGTTTTCCCCTTCGTTCGATCGATGACATTTTAATTAATTCATCTCGGATTAAAGCCTTTAAGCACCAACTTGTGACTCTGCCAGCAATGAACCCAGTAAATTGGCACGGTATTTTTGCAAACATTGCAATTATTTGTGGAACAGGGAGTGATCGCAATTCAACTTATAACCTCCTGCCCCCCCCAAAAAAAAATATAAAAAGTGAGGTCATTTGCCTCCAAGGAATATTCTGAATATTTTTATGTGTTATTAATGAAGAGCACTGGTTTTTTTTTAATTAGATATCTCTCTCAGCCTAGTCTTATAGTGAGATCAAAGAAGACATTCTATGGTGCCACACAAAGTTCTTGAACAAAGGATGCTACAATTTAATTATGTCTAGTAACATGCAATTATATACAATAACGTGTTGTAATGTATAGGTAGTCCTCGACTTACAACAGTTCATTTAGTGACCATTCAAAGTTACAACAGCACTGGGAAAAGTGATTTATGACCATTTTTCATACTTATGACCATTGCAGCATTTTCATGGACACATGGTCAAAATTCGGACGCTTGGCAACGGACTCGTATTTATGACGGTTGCTGTGGCCCAGGGTCACGTGATCCCCTTTTGCAACCCTCCGACAAGCAGAATCAATGGGGGGAAGCCAGATTCACTTAACAACCATGTTATTAACTTAACAACTGTAGTGTGATTCACTTAACTGTAGCAAAGGTCACAAAAGGTCATAAAAGGGGGCAAAACTCAACAAATGTTTCACTGAGCGGCAGAAATTTTGGGCTGATTTTGGTCATGAGTCAAGGACTACCTATAGATAGGGGTTTTTTTTT